GAAGTGGACGAATAACCAGCACTTTCTGCTGCAGTTAACAGCTGGTGAAACGCAAAGAAGAAAAAGAAGAATTAGAAGGAGAAAAAAAGGAGGAAGAAGAAAAAGAAAAAGAAGAAGAAGGAGTAGGAGGAGAAGAAGAAAAAGAAGAAGAAGAAAATTCTCTTCACATGTTTTTTATCAGTGTCTGTGGCTTAGCTGTTGTGAACGTGCTTCATAATTCTGGGGTATTAGGTTCGGTTCCAGCTGCAAGGGATCTGGTAGCAGACCGCCTTGCATAGACTTCAACTATGGTATCCAAAGCAAAGCATTCAGCAAGCAATGGCAAACTACTGAACATAAAACTGCTTAGCAAAAACCAAACTAGCCAAAAATGCTGGGGTTGGTTCCAGTGCAAGTACTGTTTAGTTGAATTGTTTATTGTTATCAGGTTTTCTTAATGTGTCCTATCCAACGCCAGCGCCTTTTCTTCGCCTCTTCATTCCCCAGAATCTGATTAGTTCTCTTCCACAACTCTATACTGGTGATTTTTTCAAACATTTCTTATTATTATTTTCCTCCTTTTTTTCTTCTTCTTAGGCACATCAGGCATATATGGGAAGAAAGCCATATTTTTACAGGCCAATCTGCACTCGGTGGGTAATGTGGTTTGTATTACGCCGGCTGTCTTAATTTTCCCAGGACATACATCCTGGTACCCATTTAAGGCTGGATCGACCTGCGACCCCCCCCTCCCCCCATAACATGATAAAAATCCAACCAGCCAGCAGTGGGTTTTGATTGCGGGGTGTTGGGATTATGAGTCTGACTCGCAACGTCTAAGCCATGGATGCCGCTTTTTCTTCTGTGTTAACCATGAAAAGGGCTGACAAGTCAGCATGACACACTAGCCTGTAATGTTTGCACCTATCGGAGCAACAACCAGTTTCAGTAAACCCTTAATTAGTCGCCCATGACTCCATGCTTGTTAGGATACAGTGGGCTATCTTCCCCCCCCCCCCCCCCAATGAACTCCTGGGTCCCACACGGGTATGTAAGGTGAGAGATTTTGTTTTTTTAAATATATATGTGTATGTAAGTACACACACACGCATGAACATGTGTGTGTGTGTGTGTGTGTGTGTATAGCAGCATGACGATTCTTATTTATGACATTTTTACTACGAATGGCCTATAAAATATATATAATCAACATACTAAAATTATTTCACAGGAACAAAATTAGAGCAGGGGGGGGGGGGGGGGGGGGGGGGGGGGGGGAGGGACCAGAATGCGGGAAAAACTGAGTTATCTGGTAACCCTAAGGGCATGTCATAGGATTCAATATACTGAAAATGAAACCAAATAATTGTGCAGCTGGTACATCAAAGACAACAGCAACTGCATAACTATTTTGGCATCTTGGAACACATCATGTGTTTATCTGTATCTAATTTAAGTGTGCTCTGGGTACAAAAGAGTTCAAATGGTCCCAAGACAGATAACTACAACCCAAGATGTGCAAGAAAGTGCATACAGAAAAAAGGCACAACAATGAGCCCAATAACAGAAGGACATCTAGTTAACCAAAATTGCTTGTAAAGAAAGATATACATTTAGGGGCAATCATTTGACTCATGTTCTGCCGCACCGTGTGCAACTGAGTGCGTTGAACATGCTCATAGTTATGCCATAGGTACTGAACAATGGATGAAAGAGGATGCGCTTTTTGTTCCACTATGCATAAATTCTGTTTCCAACCACTGAGAACCTGGCAGTGGATCCAAAATCCGTTAAAGGAAGTGGTGATTTAGTTTCTTTCAATTGAAGGATGTCGACCCGTGCACATTTGGCGAAGAATGCTGACAGCTTACGGTCACAAATATGTGTCAAAGAAAAGTGAGAGAAAACGGGCAATAACGTTTCGGAATCACTGGGTCAAGCATATATTGTTGCAACAGATAAACAAAATCATCAAAACGGATGCAGTAAATAGGTAAGCAGGTGCATTCGCCGGCAAAAGAATTCAATGTGTCAACTGGGACAATCCAAGAGGTTTTTCATAAGAAACTGCAATATCCGAAGGTGCATGCTGCGCACGTGGTGAACACTTGGCTCAGACAGCAAGCATATTCCTTTTTTTTTTTTAATGGTTGGCATCTGCTACCTACCTAAGCACTGGGATTTTTTGCCTTTCGACTTTTTATGACAACCAGGGTGCATAATGAATGCTTGGTTTAGTTTTGTCACACCCGCTGATGCTCCTTTCAAGCTTGTGTAATAATCCATTAGAATAGGTTTCAAATAAACACACTATATATATATATATATATATATATATATATATATATATATATATATATATATATATATATATATATATATATATATATATATATATATATATATATATATATATATATATATATATATATATATATATATATATATATATATATATATATATATATATATATGTATATATATATATATATATATATATATATATATATATATATATATATATATATATATATATATATATATATATATATATATATATATATATATATAGAGAGGATTGTTGCTTATGGCTTGTTCAGTTGTGGTGGTGGTGGTAATGATAGTTAACAGTAGTGATTATAACAGTAGCTGCTGAGTCTTAAAAAGGGCAGGTTGCAAGTGTTGTGGTTTTTAGCAAAGCTGCTATATCTGCATCTTTTGACCCAACACATCCAATCTCAGCAAATCCTTAATTAGTTGTTGCCTTTTAAGACATGCTTGATAAACGGCAGTGGGTCTTTTCTTTTTCCCCTATAATGAGATCCTAGAACCCGTATAGAGAAGCTGTGGCTGAAACGTCACATAGTTGTGGTATTAGAGATCCCAGTAACAGCCACAGCTGTAGTATCTGTTGTTGAGGTTTATGTTTAAACAACCGATCAACATCACGGCACAAGGATAGTAACCCATAAGTGCTCTGTTCTACTTCCAACTCAAGTCCAAGTTCGAAGAATCTCAGCGCAGTGCACTAATTCCGTAGCACAGCTGAGGATCCTAAAATACTTTGGGTAGATTTTTAATTCCAAATTTTGCCCCCAACCGCTCCACTAGGCTACTGTTTTCGATTTCCAACTGTCAGGAAATCTTTTACGTGCGCAACAATACACACGGGCGTCCGATCTTACTACTCAGAGATGAGGGAAAGTATCTGTTGTACACAGCTGCAATAGTAATAGTAATAGCAGTGGCAAGAAAAGTAATATCTGGAACGGTGATAGATGTAGTGTTTAAAAAAAATCCCAAATTATGGGTGCACATCCATTTTGCAAATCTGGATATTTGTATGCAGACTGTTGGCTCCTCTCAGGCCGATGCGCTCCGACTATGAAGGAAACACCCCTAATCAGTTGACTCCTATGATGTGCTTGCTACAGGGGCAGTGCATCCATTCTAGGTTTTCATCAATGGAGCTCCAGAACCCAGACATTGAAAAGTCAAAACTGATCTAAGTTATCTTAAGCAAATATTTCTAGATGTCTACAACATGATCAGTCTGTTGGACAGAAGAACAAGCAAAACAATTTTTTTTTAAATATATCATATACTACTAAGCCAAAAGTAAATATTAAAAAACCAAAAATTAATACACGGTTACGAATCATGAAAACAGATACTAGCTATTAAAACTAGGCCAGAAGTAAATATTAAAAAACCAAAAATTAATACAGTTACGTATCATGAAAACAGATACTAGCTATTAAACCGAAGAAGTAACTGTAAACCGTGCTGGTTCCAAGCTACCTCAGCTGTGTCTAAAACAAAATTTCACCAGTGACCAACCAAAATATAAGAGGAACAATTCATATTAAACAACAAAATGCTTCCTATGTGAGTATGTTTTACCTGGTAATTAACAATATTCTACGGCAGAATATACAGCGATGAAATAATGACTCCAACTATACAATCACTACATGAAGGGACAATTTATATTAATACGAGGGGGCATAAAATAAAAACCTTAAAAGTGTGCTAGAAAAATTACAATAACTATCTCATTGTTTTGAATGTTGAATTAAGAATCAACATCATAGGACTTGGGACACTCTCATAAGTGCTCCGTCCCCATTTTCAGCAGCAAGTGAAGAGTTCCAATTCCGATGGCACCAGTAACCGTCTGATTGCACATCCGTCTCATCCTTCCCTTGAGTGTTGAGCGTCGGCCAGGTTGTTTTGAAACATGTCAAGAGTGTCAAGCACCTGACACCACAGTGCAGATCAAAACATGGCAATGTCATAATGACAGCTTAAAAATTTGCTGCACCCGTTTTGACAAGCAGCATTCTGTTGTGCATTTTTTTTATCAGTAAAGGGTTGAATGAAACCCTCGGAATTCATCAACTTACGGAACTCCGATGTGGTGATGCATGTCTGTCAATCCGCCAAGCGTATGAGTGGAGCCGGAAGTTTCTGAACAGCGTGACTGCTGTGACAGACTGTTTACAGCTACATTGAGAAGGGATCCTAGATTCAACTGCAGCCATTTTGAAACTTTCGACTCCACAAGACAATGGCACGGGGTTCTTTCCTAATATCCTACTTCAGATGATGTCACAGGACAGTCCAACATTTTAGAGGGTGGTAAGACTGGGTTTCCTGGCTTTTTGATTCTTTTAAGAACCCAAAAACATCTAGAACTGGCCCTAATCCCAACCCACCTACATCCCACAAGAGAGTGCAGCCTGGGTCGCACGACTGCTTGCAGCCTATCTACCACCCCCTGAAATATTAGACTGACCTGTGACCTATGGATTTTCCCTGTTTGGGATAGGATATCCAGAAAGCACCTGGCACGGCGATTACATTTTCTATCACTTTTAAAGTTTCATTTGAAGCTCCCTCATATCTTTAAAACATAAAATGGGGTGGGTAAAACAAGGGACAGGCAAATAGCAAAAAAAAAAAAAAAAACATTAACATAATGCACATTTATAAAAACACACTGAGTAAGGTCTAGTCACCTTTGGCCCGCCTCTGAAGATTGTCTTTAATCTTCTCAACCTCCTCTTCCTCCTCGGCTTCATCGCCGGCCTCAACCGCTTCCTCCGCAGCAATTTTCATACTACAGGACTTCCTGAAATACTCCTGCGGATCCTTCACCGACTGCTGGGTCCGTTCCAGCACAGGCTTCGTGAGAATGTTGGTGCCACCGCTGTTGTTGCTGCTGCTGCTACTGATGGTTTTGGTGTGGTAGCTGCTGCAGGAAGCAGGGCTGCTGCTGTTAATGCCGACTTCCAAGGAGATTGAGTGACCCAGTGACATGATGGGAAGGGATTTTCGGTGTTCCCATTTGCTTCCTGTTACATTCAGTGGGTAGCATATAGTAGGGGAATAGGCACCAGCTAGACTCACTCAGACATCATCAACCGCTAATTAAAATTAAATGCTTTAGTTAAGGCTGCAGAAAAGACACCAACAACAGGCTCACCCACACATCATCCATTACTAATTAAAATTAGATGTTTCAGTTAAGACTTTCTCATAGTGGAGAACTACACCCCCCCCCCCCCCCCCCCCCAATTACGGTTATCTGTTTTAGGTCAGGCTGTCTTACTCTAAATCTAACAGTTGAGGAAACAACACCAATTACAGACTTATTCATACTCATACATCATCAAACTTCATTTTTAGTTCAGGCTGTTTTAATCAAATAGAGGAAAAGACACCATACACTCACTCATACACAAAATGCTATACTTTAGTCAGGGCTGTCTCCCTTAAACAGCAAAGAAAAATACATATTCTCATTGATTACAATTCTCTTGTTTAGTTCAGACAGTCTCATTCATACAGTCAAAGAAAATGCATCAAATACAGTAAAACCTAGTAAACATGAATTCCAGTTCATAATTTATTTTCAAAATATTGAAATTAAATCAGTGATTCTCAAATTTGTTGGGGCCGTCACTGCCAAGTCTCTAGGCCACATTTCTAGTATGTTCAATTGCTAAGATGGAGATGCAGCAGATAGAGCAGATTTGTTCAAAGATGTTAACTTAGAGAATACAATTTTCAAAATAGGGTACGTTACGGGCCAGAGGTTCAAACCCCAGTGTAGAAAGATCATTAATACTTCTTCTCTTTCGTTCATCCGGAGATGATTGATTGCATTGTGGCAGATTACAGATTGCAGATATCTGCACCTTTCGGTAACACATGCAAATTCTGTGGGCATTTGTTGACTGGGTTAGCCTTCCTGGTTAGTTTCCTGGGTCACTGCAGTCTCATCAGTGTGTCACCTTTGTTTCCTAGGTCACAGGTGGTGCCCCAAATCAGACCGGTTCAGAGAAGCCATGTAATGCTGATCAGCTCTCAATAGGAGACAAGAACAGAACATGACCATTCCCCGCCATCCAAGGAGGCTTCCATAAATGCAGAGCCAATACCGAGGTGGTCTGCTACAGGGATCATTACTACAACTGGCAATGATCTGCAGGTCCCTTGACAGATCTCTGCGGGCCAGATTCAGCCAGTAGGCCACCAAATGAAGGTCCCTGATTGAGAGAAGGTCCTGGGTGTTGTGAAGACCTTTGTCAGCTCCTCTTCTTTGCGTCCACCAGTTGTAAACTCTGGTGGAAAGTTCTGGTTGTTCATCCACTTCTAGACTTCAGTCCTGTTCCAGAACCTGAGTGTTGCGTGTGCATCCGTTCTGCAGATCTGACTCATTTGTATGCAGACTGCTGGTTCCTAGCCTCTCAGGCAGATGCACTCTGACTTAGAAGGAAGCCCCCTATTAATTGACTCTTAGGACATGCTTTTGGGTAGGCAGTGGGCCTATTTTTGTTTTCCCTATAATAGGGCCCCAGAACCCACACAGAAATATATATTTATCTTTCAGCTATATATACAATAACAAGACTCTTTCTATGTATCAGCTCTTCTACACATTCAAGACCTCACCATTCTAGAGATCTACTCTTCTTTCTCTTTGAGAAGTACTGAACCAAAGACATATAAAAAAAAAAAAGTTTAAAACCAGGGAATCAATTAGCAGACTCATAGAATTGCATAAAAAGTATTACAGCTTCAAACAGCTTTTGAGAGCACCCAATACTATTTGGTTTTCCTTTTATTTGAATTTCAATAACAAAACATGAAACTTAATTCAAATATTTCAACAACAAAAAATTTAACAAGGAAAATTCAGTGTTTGGAGATTAAATAAGAAATGTAAATATTCAAAAAAAAAATACTATTTCCTTTCAGTTTATTTGAAAAACAAACAAGCGAACAAAATGCAATTCAAAACTATGAACCAAAAAACAAACCAGAGAATTCAATTATAATTTTGTTTTTAAAGTTAAAGAAGAAATGTCAATAATATAATTTTAGTATATATTAGCAACCAGGTAAACAGTTACGCTTCTCAATAAAGACTTACCAGCATAGACGTTTTTCCGTGCTTTGACGTAGCTAGGCTTAACCAGATGTTCCCCGTTGGGGATGATGACTTCACTGTAGATCTCTTCCCCAGTGGGAGGTGGAGAAACACTTGACCCACGGTCAGCGTCGTGGTCACTGTCTGAGTAGTGTGAGTGGAACAGGTTGGGCTGGTCATAGACAGGTTCGGAGTCCGTGCTGCAGTGAGAAGGAGGAGACGACCTATTACACAGAAAATGATTTATTAATAGGAAGAGAGGCAGTGGAAAACACTGTTACTTGCTATCTGTTCTGCGCTATTGATATCATAGCACATCGGTCCGACCCGTTTGTGTTCCGTCTTCCGATACAGCAGCCATCATCTCAGTTGTCTCTATGCTCAACTTAATCTGCAAGAGATAACTTTCGATCTATATGGCTGATAGGCAGGTTAAATGTTTTTAGCTGTGGCAAGTTTTTCCTTCTTAAAAATAGTTAGCGTTGCATTTTCTTCCAATATGTAGACCGAAAGAGTATAGTTCCGTTGCCCAGCTGCTGAGTTCAATGCATGGCACGACAATGTGAGCTGCAGATTTCATGTGTAATGCTTTTCAGCTATGCCCAAGAAGATCTGTGTTGTGAACTGAAGACTCAGAAGATGGTGACTGGCCTATAGCACAGAAAAAGTGGTGCCTTATGCAATTACCTGTTTGTGCAACTACTGATCTGTCAAAACTGCTGCTTCTACTAACAATGAACTGCATGTCTAGTGTATGATTGCTTATGCTAGCACTTCCGACAGCTGCTTTATGTATTTAGTTGAGTTTTGTTGAGTTATAATTAACATCACAGCACCTGGGGCATTCCCATGCATGCTCCGTCCTCATCTTCAGCAGCTAGGGCAGAGTTCTAATACTAATGGTACTGGTCACAATTTGGTTATATGTCCGTCTTGCCTTTCCTCTGAGTGTGGTGAGCCGGCCAGACCCTCTAGTTACACCCAGGTGCCTCATTTTCTCCAAGCTTGTTTAATGTATTTAATGCATGTGTATGCTTTTGGATTTAGGATTGCATCCTGTGTCGACTTTTCTTTCGCAATGGACAGTGATGGACATTCTGTGTGTAAAATATGGAGGACATTTTGTGCAATAAATCCATGTCACTGGAGGTTAGGAATAGAAGGAACATGTGACCACTGAAAAGAACTGTGGAAAGAGACAGTGGAAGACAGCGCAAGAAGAATTTTGACAGCCTTTTGTCATGGCGGATCGCAGACTGTAAAGAAGCCTGATCGCCCATGCCAGTGGGGCAAGGTTCTTGATGATAGTGATGTATGCTATTTGGATTTGCAGTGTATACATTTTTCCACAAGGGCCAACTGTGAACATTCTCTGTGGTTTTCGATGACACAGGAAAGGAGCAAAATTGGGCACGCAGGCCATCTTATATTTGGCCCTTCCAAACACTCATCTTTCCCACAGCGACTGCATTTGTTTCTATAAAGTCTGTTATTTTCATATTGCAGTGTGCATAATAAAATTATAAACACAAACTGTATGGATGGTAAACGCCAACATTCAAATACACACACGGACATTTATACACGCACATGTGCCCGGCTCCCTAATGTGGTTGGCTAAACCTGACTTCACGATGACCGGGTGACAAACTCCTTGTGGTAAGAGTTCACGCCCAGGGGTAGGCAGAAAAGCCACATTTCTCCCAGATGTATGATATTTATCATGGAATAAAGGCCGAAGGGTTGCAATATCCAGTTTCCTTTAAAGTGAGAGTGATTTGCCTTAGAGGCAAGGAACCAACAATCTGTACAACAAATAAGCCATATCTGTAAAAACACATGTAAACACAAAACTCAAGTTCTGGAGCAAGACCAAAATCCAGGAATGGACGAACAACCAGAAATCTCTGCCAAGGTTTACAGCTGGTGAATGCTAAGATAAAGCAAATACACACACACACACACACATGATACATACCACACACACATACATGATACATACCACACACACATACATGATACATACCACACACACATATTAAACTCTCAAAGAAAAGATTCCAACCTGTTTGACGTGCTTGACTTGTGAGTATGATAACTGTAGGTCTTTGGCAATGGAGCAGGTGGCCTGGTGCCATAGAAGGTCTTCTCATCGTAAGTTGTAGGGCCAGGTTCTTCCAGGGGCTCATGGTACAGGGCCTCGGACTCCTCCCGTTGCTGCCACACCTCTTTAAAAAATGGCAGGAACACGGCAGCTGCAGAAGTAAAGCACATTTGGTCAAATAACCGGAAGAAAGTGACAAATATACAAACTGAGGAGAGAAAACAAGTATCAAAACAGAGAAAAAATATATAATAGAATAGAAAGAAAAGAGGGGGAAAAATTATTTATTTTTTGTTGTTGAAAGCAATAAAGGCCTACATGAGGAAAGAAAGAAAGAAAGAAAGAAAGAAAGAAAGAAAGAAAGAAAGAAAGAAAGAAAGAAAGAAAGAAAGAAAGAAAGAAAGAAAGAAAGAAAGAAAGAAAGCTAGACAGACAGACAGACAGACAGACAGACAGACAGATCGATCGATAGATCGATAGTTCGATCGATAGATAGATAGATAGATAGATAGATAGATAGATAGATAGATAGATAGATAGATAGATAGATAGATAGATAGATAGATAGATAGATAGATAGATAGATAGATAGATAGATAGATAGATAGATAGATAGATAGATAGATAGATAGATAGATAGATAGATAGATAGATAGATAGATAGATAGATAGATAGATAGATAGATAGATAGATAGATAGATAGATAGATAGATAGATAGATAGATAGATAGATAGATAGATAGATAGATAGATAGATAGATAGATAGATAGATAGATAGATAGATAGATAGATAGATAGATAGATAGATAGATAGATAGATAGATAGATAGATAGATAGATAGATAGATAGATAGATAGATAGATAGATAGATAGATAGATAGATAGATAGATAGATAGATAGATAGATAGATAGATAGATAGATAGATAGATAGATAGATAGATAGATAGATAGATAGATAGATAGATAGATAGATAGATAGATAGATAGATAGATAGATAGATAGATAGATAGATAGATAGATAGATAGATAGATAGATAGATAGATAGATAGATAGATAGATATAGATAGAAAGAAAGAAAAAACATAAGGATGAAAGTTAAATAAAAAAAGGAAAAACAGAAGGAATAAGGAACAGGACCAAAAAAAGGTGGGGAAAAAGAAAGAAAAGGAAGAATGAGAGAGATATAGAGGGAGAGAGAGAGAGGGGGGAGAGGGAGGGAGGGAGACAGAGAGAGAGAGAGAGAGAGAGAGAGAGAGAGAGAGAGAGAGAGAGAGAGAGAGAGAGAGAGAGAGAGAGAGAGAGAGAGATAAACACACACAAACAAGCAGGGATAAGGGGAAAAAAGGTGGAATCGATTACAAAATAAATGAAAGACAAAAGGAAAGAAAGAAGATTTTTTTAAGAGAGTAAAAAACAGAATCCAAAACAAAATGACAGAAAAAGAACAACATGGGAAGAAATTAAGACAGAAAAGGTGTAGTTGACAAGCACAAAGAAAGAAAGGGCAAAACTGAAAGAAAGAAAGAAAGAAAGAAAGAAAGAAAGAAAGAAAGAAAGAAAGAAAGAAAGAAAGAAAGAAAGAAAGAAAGAAAGAAAGAAAGAAAGAAAGAAAGAAAGAAAGAAAGAAAGAAAGAAAGAAAGAAAGAAAGAAAGAAAGAAAGAAAGAAAGGAGAGAACCCAAAGAGAGAAAGAGAGAAAGAAGAAAGAAAGAAATAAAAGAAAGAAAGAAAGAAAGAAAGAAAGAAAGAAAGAAAGAAAGAAAGAAAGAAAGAAAGAAAGAAAGAAAGAAAGAAAGAAAGAAAGAAAGAAAGAAAGAAAGAAAGAAAAGAAAGAAAGAAAGAGTGTGACTAACAAACAGAAACCCAGCAACTGACTCTGCTGACTGAAGTTGGCTGTGGTGGTCATAAAGCCAGCATTCAAAGACTGGGCCAGCTGGTGACCCTCTTGGATAAGGCTCTGGGCAATGTCGCCGGAGAAGAAGCTGGAAGAGGCACCTCCGGAGTCTATAACAGCCAGAATTAGCTTGGGTACTTCTACAAGATTCTCTGCAAATGTTCTGAAGATGAAACAGTAGATTAATGTGTTTGTAAGTCGTCAGTTATAAAGTCCTTGTCAAACAAACTGAAAAACACATTTACACTTTGTCTCTCCTCTTCTACCTTGGGGTGTAAATATTTGCCAGAGAGATCGCCAGAAGTCTCTATCCGCAGTTTTCCTTTCTGGCTTTATTCCATTCCTGTCCTCTGTCAGTTAGGGATTGTCAGATGTTGTCTTCCCAGCAAACCCTGGGCTGCCCTGGTGGCCAATTTTCTCCCATTCCGCATACATGTCCCAACCGTCATAACTGTGACTGATTCACTCGGGTTTGTAAGAAATGGGTATCAAGATCTTGACGTATTGTCTGATTTTAAAAAACACTACAAACTACTATATCTTCTCTAGTCCTGTTCTGCCCATCAGCATCCGGTTTTGAAGAGGCATCAGGTGCGAGTCTTGCTATGTGCTATCTAGATGCTGGTATTACGGCCTCGGATATTCCATCTATCCATCGCTTGCATGGGTCGACCTCTAGATGGCTTCCATTATGTGTCAGTGAGAGGGCTCTTTGTGGTGCAGTGACTGGTTGTTGTCTTGACACATGTCCAAAACATTTTATCTGTTGTCTTTTGTTGTAGTTTAATACTGGTTCCATCCCTTCTTGTTTTTTGATACTGCCATTTTAAAAAAAAAATGTTAATGTCCATTTAAAAAATGTATTAATTAGTTTTCTTTTGGAGTCCATCAAAGTGACTTTTAAAGAAAACAACCACTGACCACAAATGGATGAAGAGATAGAAAAGCGATTCAAATCTGCCTGATCAATATTTGTGGTACTGGAAATAAACAAAAATACCTAACAGAAGATACGAAGAAAACACACCAATCCTAAAGCATAGCAACATACCTAAGTGTGGCCAGAGATGCTTTCCGCTTTGCAGAATAAACCAGAATGTGACCGTGAAACAAGCCTTGGTGGAGGCGAGTCCCCCCATGGTACGAGGCCACTTCAACTTCCACCTTCTGTTTGGAAGATTCCAGAAACAGATCCAGGGTTATGCAGTACGGGGTGTCCGCCAGAACACGACACATGTCATGGTTCAACAATGGACCCAGAGGCAGCTCCAGCGGAAATGGGTCCCCACACATCATACACATAGACAATCTGGCAATACGAAACACACAAATTGTTTCACTAAATTTCAACAAAATTTAAAAAGAGATAACAGACATATATATTGATAAGAGATATCAAACCAAATGAAAAGTAGAACCAGTCAGCGTCATAATATGGCAAACACAAATGACAAGTGAATGTTGTAGCTAGAGAGCCTTCATCAGCACATTCATAAACCTACAATACCACAAATACGACCAAGAATACACAGAATCACTTAATCCAATGGTTCTCAATCTTCCCAATGATGGGACTCCTTAATACAGTTCCTCATGTTGTGGTGACACCCAATCATAAAATTATTTTTGTTGCCACTTCAAAACTTCAGTGAGTATGTTTTTTTTTTATCGTCTTAGGTGACCCCTGTGAAAGGGTCATTTGACCCCCAAAGAGGTCACCACCCACAGGCTGTTAACCCTGACTAAACTGATGTTTCTCTGATAGAAATCACCTCTCTGTCCAATCATTAGAATATCTGACACACGTGTGGACATTTTCAGAATGGCAGGTGCTTATGAGAGGCAAATGTGCTTTTACAAATTGTGAATAAAAGTAAAGGTTGTTTTCAAGCCAGCGGATGATCAGGTATATGATTCTAGTGTTATAGTATTTGTATACACCAATCAGAACTCCACAGGTGCTGCCATTGACATTACCAAGTAATCTGAAGCTGCTACAACCTGGGAGCCAAGTTCCACATTGAAAAAATACAATTGAAAGCAGATTCGAACTATAAAGAGAATGAGAGAGGTTTCAAGGCACAGGGAATTATGTTGCTGTTAATCTGGTGGTCGCCTGTGTGTCACCAGGCACCTCACGGGAAGCAAAGAATAGTGAAACTGCACCCTACCAGGCACGTCCTAAGAGGCGACTGAGGGTAGGGTTGGGCTTGAGGTTAGCTACCTCATCCTGTAAAAACAATAGCCACAAAAACCAACCAACTATGGATAAGTCAAAAAGAGAAGCCAAGTAAAATCCAGTTAACCAAGATGAGGAGAGGCAGGGGAGGACATGGGGGGAGGACATGGGGAGAGCTGCATGCGATAGCAAAGGATAGAACGACTTGACGAGAGTTGGTTGAGGGCCTATGCTTCATCGGGGCTAGAAAGGCAGAAGAGGAAGAAGAATCTGGTGGTGGTGGTGGGTGGGTGGTTGGGGGGGGGGGGGGGGGTGGAGATGACTACGTCCAACACTGCTGACATCTTCGGTTATTATTGTGGTCTATTTTTAATTGCGCCAAGTTCAATAACTTTAACAGTCTGGTGTGCCAAATGTTGTGGCTTATTGTCTCTTAACTGTGTGATGTTATCTTTCTGAACATGCCTGGGTCCTCCACAGATCCTAAAGTGGATTCAACTTTTCATGTCGATTTTCCTGTCCTCTGGGTGAAACTGTGTTGTAACTGTGTTGTGTGTAACTGTAATGTGTGTGTCTGTAACTGTGTTGTGTAACTGTGTTGCGTGTAACTGTGTTGCATGTAACTGTGTTGTGTGTAACTGTGTTGTGTGTAACTGTGTTGAGTATAACTGTGTTGTGTGTAACTGAGTTGTGTGTAACTGTGTTGTGTGTAACTGTAATGTGTGTGTCTGTGGTGTGTGTAACTGTGTTGTGTGTAATTGTGGTGTGTGTAACTGTGTTGTGTGTAACTGTGGCTGGACTCTATATCTCATGTGGTGTTTTCCTTCTAGGGGTGTTATATACTAAGCAGCAAGATACAGAAAGGAGATGTCTTCAAGACAACCAGCCTCTGAATGACAGAGTCAAACCATTTGTATGTGGACTATATGGCAGCGACTGCCACTCCAGCACTGGGCTTTACAGTCATAAGAGACTCTGTTACCAAAACCAGCAGCAAAACTCCGTGGCCCCAAGGACTGACAGTTGTCTAATGTTATGTCCTGTCTCATGTCCTTGAAAACTTGTTCTCACAAATGCCCTGTTTTGTAGTCCTTCTATGGGTCGATCCTACCGAGGTTTAAGGGAAATTAATCATTGCATCAGGTTTTATCCCATTTGGCTCAGTCTCTGCTGAGCAACTAGCCACCAGCTGAGCCTCACACAAAGCACAAACACTGTAACACCAGCAATGACCAATCAGAGATCCCAAGGAAAAACTGCATCTGTGAATCAAATGGTGCAGTCTGAAAACAAACTCACAACATAAAGAAGGCAGGGGCAGTAAATAATAACATGTTTACAGTGTAAATTATGGGGGTGGGGTGGGGGGGGGGGGGGGGGGGCATTAAGGACATTGCACAATTTATTGCTTGACATCTTTCATTGTATCCCATTAGGTGAATTAGTGTGAAGTCACTTGACTACCTTGAATGTCCAGCAGTGTGATGATCAGTGCGTCTAGAGAAGACAATATAATTTATGTTTTTTTAGGGAGAAGGATTACATTTTTGTGCTTCAGTATATAAAGTAACTCTTTTGTGATGCGCCTGATGAGATACAGTGAAAAATGTATCAAGGCCTGCGTGCCTTAATCTTAACCTTCTGAATATAAAGTTTGTTTATTAATTCCATATGCCCCATTATCGACCCTTTAAAAATAAATGTGTCTGTCCCTTTGTTCCTCAGGGTGGCCGGCTGCCCACCAAGAGCATGTCACATAACTCCCAGGCTCCAGCGATGGACAACAGATTTCTAAAAACTCAAATTTCTTAATCAATGCAAGAATTCATAAATGAACCAAGATCTAGTGAGCACGCAGCTCTACCAGTTTGTCTTGGAAAGGTCTAGAAGTAAGTCTAGATGTACGTTTTTGAGAACTCTAGAAGTAACTTTTAAGTAATTCTACTAGTATAGTAGGTTTTGATATAAGAAGTTTTGAAGTTATTTTACAAGCCCAGAATAGTCTAAAAACTTTGAAGTTACTTTTGAAGTAAGCCCAGAATACAGTCTAAAAAATTTTTTTAGTTACTTTCAAAGTAAGCCTAGAAGTCAGTCTAGAAATAAGTTCTGAAATAAGTTTTGAAATAAGTTTTGAAGTTACTTTTGAAGTAAGCTCAGAATACAGTCTAGAAGTAAGATTGTAGAGTTACTTTTGAAATAAGCCCAGAAGTCAGTCTAAAAGTTTTGAACTTACTTTTGAAGTAAACCCAGAAGTCAGTCTAAAAGTTTTGAACTTACTTTTGAAGTAAACCCAGAAGTCAGTCTAGAAGTTAAGTTTTGAAGTAAATATAAAACAGTGAAACAGCCTCACCTGATATCTGGCTCAAACTGGTCCGACAGGTACCAACTGTTGAGCCCAGGACTACAGCCTCGGATGACTGTCTGCAGTGCTGCAATGATCTGCTCCTCCACAAACTGAGTACCTTCCTCCACGTCATCATAGTCCACAATGAACTCACCATGGAATCTGTAAGTTCAGTTTGAAAGCATATTTCATTACACAAATTTCCCATGTGGGTTTAGGGGTCCAGTTTTGGAGGTTTGGGAATATACACACTGCTCCTCCCCCCCCCCCCCCCCCCCCCCACCACGCTGAACAAGTTGACTAATTGGAGGTTTGCCTTATTAAATTAAACTTGTGGTCAAGGGGCAAATATACTGCAGCTTAACTGTAAACCACATAAATGTGCAAACTGTTCTTTTAACAGTGAATGTAAAAGAAGAAAAGGGAAAAAAAAGAAGGAAAGAAGAAAAAAAAAGAAGACAAATACATCATTAACATGGCATAAGAGCCAAAATAAATTAACAGTAATTACATGGAACAAACCATCAAAGAGTGAATTTGTGAGTCTTCACAAATACTAGATGTAGGGAGGTAACAGAGTGCTACACTGAAGAAATACAGTAAAACAGAGCACCGGGAAGACAACACAAAATATGGAACTACAGAAACAAGAGCAACCTTAAATAAATGCATTTGTGAGAGCATCCAGAAAAATCCTTGCTTGAAAAATGAAAATAAAACAGAAACAGGGGGTAAGGTGGTGGAAGAAGGAGGAGGTAAAAGAAGAAAGTGAAGAGATGTAGAATTACGTATAGTTATGGAGGAAAAAGTAAACAGAACCAGGGAGAAGAAGAAAGGGAGGGAGGAGAAATAAGCCTACCTAGCAGCAATAGTGCGGCCCTTTTCCCGCAGCCGCTCGTTCTCACTCTCTGTCTGACTAGAGTTTGAAGCCTGGATGATGGCAATAGGCATGCCACTGAGGGTCGACTCCCCGTCCTTCACCACGTCATAGGTCAGTGACCTCTCCAGGCTGTCTCGGATGTAGCCCAGAGTTTCATCCGAGTTGTAGACGCATAAACAACCTGGCAACAAAGACAACTGAATGCGATGAAATGACTGTTTTGACTGGGGAAAAAAATTTAATTAACACTTTCATGCCCGTGAATTTTGATCTTGGTTTTGATCTCAGGCCAACGATCTTGGCTTGCACTAATTCAACTTTACAGAGGTGGTGGTGTTAAATAAACGCAATACAGAATATTTCTAATCCCTACACAAGTATACGTAGGCTATGTAGCTACGTCGATGCAAATGCTTCGTAATGCCAGGATGCCGGGTTCGATCCCAGCTGCGGGCCATGCGCCTTACATTGGTTTCGACAGTGGTATCAAGAAAGCCGACCGTCCAGAAAACAATGGCAAACTAATGGACGTAACTTGCCTAGAGAAACCACACAACAGTCAGGGGCTGTTGGGGTTGGTTCTGCAACGTCCTGTAAAGAATACGCAACTAACCAACACAAGTATACATTTTTTATATGTATATTCTGAATATAAATTAAATGTCAATGTGTAATGCTGTTACAGTTAGTAAAAAAAAAATTCAGTAAGTGTTACGTTTACAAAGGCCAAATTTAACAAATTCTTCACTTGCCATGGTTTTGCAGCCACAAGAACCCTGAATATCCACATCTGAGAATAACCCTTTAAAGTATGTACAATTTCCTTAAAATTTCAACAGTTACGAGGGAAAGTCAATAAGTAAATCACAAATGGTTCTTTAAAAAAAAAAAAAAAACTAAAGATAACAGCTTGAAAACCATTTATTTGTACACATTCACTGTCCCTTTATTTTTCAATGCCTAATAAGCTCACCTTGGACTGACAGAATAACTAACAATGACTGCCTGAAAACTGCTAATGAAAATAGAACATTATATACAACAATGAGAAGAAGACAAAAAGTTCTGTGGTCATGTAATGGGAAAAGGAGCACTGGAAACTTTCGTGACGACTTGAAAGATCCCTGGTAGCAGAGGCAAAGGCAGACCAAGAGAAATAATGGTGGATGGCTTAAGACAGTGGCATGGAGGAATATCATCAGTGGAATTGATCCAGAACACAAAAGGCCGAGATCTGTGGAGATGCACGAACGCTGATGCCAGCTGGCAAGGCCCTTGATGATGATGATGATGATGATCACTAAGGGCATTTACCATAACGTTCACAACTGTGCCCAGTGCGGGCACCCTGAGGTTCAGCATTAAACAGAACTTACCACAAGATTCACACTGAGTGACTCAACTAAACCAGGCAGGCAGATACTCACCATGAGGTTTAACTAAGGTTTAGTAACAACTAACCCTAGCGGGAGACTGAGAAAAAAAGAGATGCTGGATAGTTTGATATCATGCCATACAGCAGCGATTCTAAACATGCCAGTCGCAACCCCCCCTTTTTTGTTTCTGATCATAGAATCCTTTCACAGGGGTGGCCAAGACCATCAGAAAATACATATTCATTGAAGTTATGAAGGAAACTATTGTTTGGAGGTTGACACAACGTGAGGGAACTCTATTAAAGGGGTCGCAGCATTAGGAAGGTTGAGAGCCACTGGCATAGAGGATCATCTGTATCAGAGATTACTGACAGAAGGTTGAGGAAAAACATGACTACCAACAGCACTCAGCATGGACTTTCAGAAGAAGACCTCTAACGTGGGCACTTACCATGAGGCTTAAAATTAGCTGTGGCTAATGCATTCTGCTCTCTGCTAACATCTCCATCTATTGGTCGATAATCCAAGCTGTATGTTGTGTTGTCTATCGTATATTCATCTTCTGCACATAGATTCTGAAGAAAAAAGTTATATCAGTTGCTTATGTAGGTTCTGAAGTAACAGTATATGTTGCTGATACTGGACTTTGTATCTGATTGTCACTGCCTGTGGTATCTTTAGTCTTAGTCGAGGTTTCAACCTCACTGCATTTGGGTTTCCCCATACTTGCTTCTGGGACAGTGCAAATGAAATCTCCCTGACTGTCCCATTTGAAAAACCAGTGAACAAACAGTCCTGGCACAATCCAGAAATATGTGCACGCAGTAAATGAATATGCCTCTCTATAGCATGATGTAAAACACTTTCTGCTTTCTTCCTCTAAAAACCAGCGTAATACAGTCATTATTTTGACTTATATATTGCCTATCTTTTTCTTCTTCTTCCTGTTCACCGGCTGTAAACTCTGGTGGAAAGTTCTAGTTGCTCATTTGTGGCTTAGCTACATGACCTTGCATTGGTTTCAACAGTAGAATCAAGACTAGACCACTCAGAGAGCAATGACAAACTAATGAACGTTAAATTTGCCTAGAAAAACTACTAAAGCAAAAAACTGATAGGGTTGACTCTGCAACATCCTGTAAAGGATACGTAACTAACTTTTTTGCCTGTTTGTGCCAAATAACTTTTGTTAAGCCAAGGTAATGCATTTCACCTTGTTCATATTACATGATTACTCCCTTTCAGCTGGACAGATAGATTAGATTAAATTAGATTAGATTAGATTAGATTAGACAGACAGACAGACAGACAGACAGACAGACAGACAGACAGACAGACAGACAGACAGACAGACAGACAGACAGACAGACAGACAGACAGACAGACAGACAGACAGACAGACAGACAGACAGACAGACAGACAGACAGACAGATTAGATGGATGGATGGACGGACGGACAGACAGATAGATAAACAGAGAGAGAGAGAGAGCGAGAGAGAGAGAGAGACACACACAGAGAGACAGAGAGAGAGAGAGACAGTCAGAGAGAGAGACAGAGAGAGAGAGAGACAGAAAGAGAGAGACTAGTGCTGTGATGTCGATTCTTGAATCAACCAAACTCAACTCCCTTTTTATATTATGACAAAAAATGGACATGAATAAATTGTAAACAAATTAAATTGTCATATTTATACTTTGTAATTCAGAGTATTTTGTTTTCAATTCCAAAGGGTTCATGACCCATTTTCTGGTGTTCTCTGAGCAAGTGGGTTAATGTTCATCAAATTGTCCACAGCTGTACTGGTTGGTAAATATCCTGTCATGCCTGGGAACCGAACCTGAACTGTAGCCCTGGCAGGCAAGCCCACTAACCAATATACCACTTCAATTCCCAGAACACCAAGGTGCCCTCGACATAAAGGTTACGGCCCCCAAATCTAGCCACTCTAGGCACGAACCACTTTATCCCTCTCACGAGCACCAACCTAGGGAACTTGATATTTTACAGTCTTATATTATGCCTAATGCTCTTGTCGCGTTCTCTGGCCAGCATTGTATGTCAGGTGGCCAGACATATGTTAGACACTCCACTGGCTGGACATAAATGTGCATTCTATCGGAGATATGTCAAGTAAGTTATTCTGTGTGTTCTTGTTTGTACTTGTGGTATAGTAAGTTTGTTAGTTTCTCTTTCCTCTTTCCTCTAAGAAGGCGCGCAGGGCAAAGGTCAAAGCTCTCTATGTCTGGTGGTTTGTTGCCTTCTGTTTTGAGTTTTCAATATTAATTAGGCACATGGCCGAGCTTGAGGGGAGAGTCCGGTCTTATGCATTCTGAGTGCATGGCTGATGTAGTTCCAGCAGTGTTTTCTTTTAAAATTAGATATTTTATCTCGCTTGCTCTCTCGTCTTTTTTACGTATTGAATCTGAAATGTCCGGTGTAGATTTAGTATTCTTCTAGGACATTTGTTCTCAAAACTGTCTAATTTTGTGTATGTTGGTTTGATTTTATGTGCTTATCTTTCTTCTTCTTCATCTTCACGTTCACCAGCTGTAAACTCCGGTAGAAAGTTCTGGTTGTTCGTCTACTTCTGAACTGCAGTCCTGTTCCAGAAACTGAGTGTTGCATGTGCATCTGTTTTACAGATCTGACTCATTTGTATGCAGACCGCTGGTTCCTTGCCTCTCAGGCAGATGCATTCTGACTTTGAAGGAATCATGTGCTTATGAAGGCTCTCTAGCTACAATGTTCAGCTGTCATTTGTGTTTGTGATACTGTGAAGCCGGGTGGTTCTACTTTTTATGTGGTTTGATATCTGTTCACATTGAGAAGCAAAGAATGAAATGGTTTGGTCACCTAATGAGAATGGAACCAACGATGCCAGCATCAAGAGCATACAACATGAAAATGGAAACACCAAGAGGCAGGGGAAGACCAAGAAGAAGATGGATTGAAGGAGTCACGGACAACTTGAGACTTCATAACATCACGGCATATGAAGCGACTGAGCGCGCCCTGGCTCGGTTGCCGATCATCTGATAGACTGCGACGCCTAGCGGCACAAGCAGATTTTGACAACAACAACAAAAAAACAAAACAAAACAAAAAAAAAAAAAAAAAAAAAAAAAGATATCTGTTCACGATACGCCACCAAGGGTGCTCATGCCCCAAGTGTGAATGTGAAATGATGAGGTAGCTGTTGCTCTTACCCGGATCTCTCTGTTGAGAGCAATGGCAAGACCATCCTTGCCTAGCAGCACTAGGTTGAGCGTTTTGCAGCCAGAGTCAATGGAATCTGAGGAACTCTTGAGTTCTGGCCTGAAAACATAAAGTACATCTATGTAGTAGCTACAGTTATCGCCAGGATCATTTAAAAAAAAAAATCCCTGTATGGGTTGGGTTGGTGGGGGGGGGGCACTCAAGGGAAAGTGACCAAAGATCTGGGCTGACACTCAACACTGCGTGGACAGGCAAGGGGAACAGACCAAGGATCCGGGCTGACACTCAACATTGCGAGGACAGGCAGGGGGAAGAGACCAAGGATCTGGGCTGACACTCAACATTGCGAGGACAGGCAAGGGGAAGTGACTAAAGAACATGGCTGACACTCAACATTGCGAGGACAGGCAAGGAGAAGAGACCAAAGAACATGGCTGACACTCAACATTGCGAGGACAGGCAGGGGGAAGTGACCAAAGAACATGGCTGACACTCAACACTGCGAGGACAGGCAAGGGAAAGAGAACAAAAAACATGGCTGACACACTCAACATTGTGAGGACAGGCAAGGGAAAGTGACCAAAGATCCGAGCTGACACTCAACATTGCAAGGACAGGCAAGGAAAAGAATCCAAAAAACATGGCTTACACTCAACATTGCGAGGACAGGCAAGGGGAAGAGACCAAAGAGCATGGCTGACACTCAACATTGCGAGGACAGGCAAGGGAAAGAGAACAAAAAACATGGCTGACACTCAACATTGCGAGGACAGGCAGGGGGAAGTGACCAAAGAACATGGCTGACACTCAACATTGCGAGGACAGGCAAGGGAAAGAGAACAAAAAACATGGCTGACACTCAACATTGCGAGGACAGGCAAGGGGAAAGTGACCAAAGATCCGAGCTGACACTCAACATTGCAAGGACAGGCAAGGAAAAGAGAACAAAAAACATGGCTGACACTCAACATTGCGAGGACAGGCAGGGGGAAGTGACCAAAGAACATGGCTTACACTCAACATTGCAATGACAGGCAAGGGGAAGAGAACAAAGAACATGGCTGACACTCAACATTGCGAGGACAGGCAAGGGGAAGAGACCAAAGAACAAGGCTGTCAACACTGCAAGGACAGGCAAGGGGAAGAGACCAAAGAACATGGCTGACACTCAACATTGCGAGGACAGGCAAGGGGAAGAGAACAAAGAACATGGCTGTCAACACTGCAAGGACAGGCAAGGGGAAGAGACCAAAGAACATGGCTGTCAACACTGCAAGGACAGGCAAGGGGAAGAGACCAAAGAACATGGCTGTCAACACTGCAAGGACAGGCAAGGGGAAGAGACCAAAGAACATGGCTGTCAACACTGCAAGGACAGGCAAGGGGAAGAGAACAAAGAACATGGCTGTCAACACTGCAAGGACAGGCAAGGGGAAGAGACCAAAGAACATGGCTGTCAACACTGCAAGGACAGGCAAGGGGAAGAGACCAAAGAACATGGCTGTCAACACTGCAAGCACAGGCAAGGGGAAGAGACCAAAGAACATGGCTGTCAACACTGCAAGGACAGGCAAGGGGAAGAGACCAAAGAACATGGCTGTCAACACTGCAAGCACAGGCAAGATGAAGAGACCAAAGAACATGGGTGTCAACACTGCAAGCACAGGCAAGGGGAAGAGAACAAAGAACATGGCTGTCAACACTGCAAGGACAGCCAAGGGGAAGAGACCAAAGAACATGGCTGTCAACACTGCAAGCACAGGCAAGGGGAAGAGACCAAAGAACATGGCTGTCAACACTGCAAGCACAGGCAAGGGGAAGAGAACAAAGAACATGGCTGTCAACACTGCAAGCACAGGCAAGGGGAAGAGACCAAAGAACATGGCTGTCAACACTGCAAGCACAGGCAAGGGGAAGAGACCAAAGAACATGGCTGTCAACACTGCAAGCACAGGCAAGGGGAAGAGACCAAAGAACATGGCTGTCAACAAAGCAAGCACAGGCAAGGGGAAGAGACCAAAGAACATGGCTGTCAACACTGCAAGCACAGGCAAGGGGAAGAGACCAAAGAACATGGCTGTCAACACTGCAAGGACAGGCAAGGGGAAGAGACCAAAGAACATGGCTGTCAACACTGCAAGCACAGGCAAGGGGAAGAGACCCAAGAACATGGCTGTCAACACTGCAAGCACAGGCAAGGGGAAGAGACCCAAGAACATGGCTGTCAACACTGCAAGCACAGGCAAGGGGAAGAGAACAAAGAACATGGCTGTCAACACTGCAAGCACAGGCAAGGCAAGTTATGCTCAGACTGCTAATGGCACCATTGTTTCTCTGCTCACTGCTGAATATGGGGAACAAGCACGTGTGGGAATGCATAGAATTTTGTGATGTTAGTTCTTGACTCAACTATCTAGAAAACACAAGAGCCTTTCTTCTTCTGTGGCGGCGCTCAGAAGTGCAGCTGGCAAACTGGGTTGTGGTTTACAGCTAGGCAGTGACAGATCCACTATTTGGTCCAAAATATCCAATTTCATCAAACTCCTGAAGTCACTTATTACGCAAGCAGAAATGGAGCAGGAGTGTATATTGAGCATCCAAATAATACCAGATATACAGCCAAATTACCTAAAGGAAAGCAGTCACAACTATGATACAAGCAAGCCATCAAAACAGCAGCAGAGAAACTGTTCAATATTCGTCATATTTTACAACCCGTGATATTCCTAAGAGATGCTAGAGCGGTACTGTAGAAGCTCCAATCCAGAAAATCACCTGGTAAACTAACACTGCTCTCCAAACTAGGCAACCGGTGTAAGGTACTATGCAATGGATACCATCTCACTGTGGAGTTTATGGAAATGAAAGAGCTGATAAACTAGCTAAGGAATGTGGAAATGAAGAACAACCAGACGTACCAGTCTCTTATCAACAGAAGAAGAGAATAATCAAACTAATCAGAAAGCCACCAAAACCGGCACAAAACGATGACCATATTATGGACAGACCGGAGCCAGTTATTATTCTATGCCTTCGAACAGGAGAACACATGTGCACATGTGAATTAGCACCTGCGACAACAGATCATGTCCTCCAAGACTGTCACAAATACAAAATATCAAGGCAAAACTTTTGGCCAAGAGAAACACTGATGCAACGGGTCACTTTTCATAAATTTGTTTGTAAACTTCAACATGGGGACTCCAGAACCCACATTAGGAGGTATGGAATTATTTTCTCGCGAGGTAGTTGCCACCTGATTTTCATTTGTTCAAATAAATACAGACGTTGTGGAGAGAGAAAGAAACGAGAGTCACTGAAAGAAAGAGACAAGAAAAACATTGTGGCCATAATAAAGGGCATGGGAGGGATAAAAACCATACTAGAACAAGTAGCAAGTGAGACAACAGAAAGGATAACAACAATAAATGGACAAAAAAATTTGACAAGAGTACAATCCGACATCTGGGAGTCGCTGTGGTGGAGCAGCTACATGTTCTCTGCGGATTGGAAAGTCCTGGGTTTACTCTTCGGCGGAGACAGACATTTTAAAAAAAAATTATCTTGGCTCCCAGGTCAACCCAGCTTTGAGTAGGTACCGGGTGTAGTCAAAGGAAGTAAAGACAGCCGGCGTGATGCTGACCACATTACGCACCTTGTGCCGATTGGTCTACAAAATATAGGTCTAGCCCTATATGCCCTATGCGCCTAAAGGCATTGAAAATAGACCTTTACTTTTTTTACTTTACACGCTGATATCTAGGCTAGTATGGGTTCTTGGTTGTAAAACCTGGAGTATGGAATGATTTGTTCTCTGTTCGTCGGATAAATGTATATCAGTGCGCGGAAACTGTTTTACGAAATAACTAGTATGCCCTTGCAAAGGAACCTGTAAAATCAAAGAAACAAAGATCACAACCGGGATTATGTCATGATGTCTTTGGTAGTGGCCTGTATAACAGTTCTGGTGCTGGCTGCGTTGAGTTGATTCAAGAACCGAAATCTTAGCACTTGGGGCATTCCCACAAGCAATCCGTCCCCATCTTCAGCAGTCAGCGCACAGTTCTAATACCAAAAGAACCAGTAGCAGTCTGATTATATGACTGTCTTGCCTTTCCTCTGAGCATCGAGTAACGGCAATATCCCTATTCAATCTTCCCTGCATCACTCCCACCAAACTGTGATAATCCATTTGCTCCTCCAAATTGTACACGTGCTCTTATAAGGCCTTAACCACACGTCCGCAGTAAGCTGTGCAGAGCTGGCCAATCTGTCCGCCTGTTCATTTGCCAACACATCGGCATTACTCAGAGAAAAGATCCAGACAATGCTCTTCACCCGTGTCCCAGAAGCAAAGCATGTTGGATGAAACTGTATCATGGGTAGGCACAGTAGGTATAATTATATTTACAAAAACAAATTTATTTTAGATTTTTTTTTTTTTTGGTGCAAAAAAAATTGATTTTAAAAATTGTGACATCATAAAATTTCACAACTGCATCACACTGCTCTTTGTAGAAAGGTACCCAACACCTTTGAGACTGCTAAAAGGAAGGAAATACAGAGGAGAAGAAGAAGAAGAAGAAGAAGAAGAAGAAGAAGAAGAAGAAGAAGAAGAAGAAGAAGAAGAAGAAGAAGAAGAAAAAGAAGAAGAAAAAGAAGAAGAAAAGAAGAAAAGGAGGAGGAGGAGAAGAAGAAAACGGGGAGGAGGAGGAAGAAAAAGAGAAAAAAAAAGAAGAAAAAGAAGAAGACAAGAATAAGAGGAGGAAGCTGAGGGGGAGGAGGAAGAAGAAGAAGAGAAAGAGGAGAAGAAGCAGCAGCAGCAGCAGAAGAAGAAAAGACTGTACAAACAATACAAGAGACAGTGTGTTGGAGGTCCACGACAGCCAACCTTCACTCTCGAGACGATAAGTGACTGGTGGTGATCACCAACTTCAGCCGATCTGCTCTCCTTGGTATGAGCAAAAGACGAGAGAAGAAAAAAAAAATAAAACATAAATGGGAACCAGCCTTACCTGACAGCCCTGGAGGCCAACAAATTCTCCACTTGGGTGTCTATACAGAACTCTCCGAAGCTACAGCGTTCACGAGATGGAGACTGCATGAAGCCCAGATGGTTTAGTATCATCACTTTTCTATCCTCTTCTAAACGGTGCAGGGCCTTGTATCTGAAAGAAATCATTTACTCAATCACTTTTCAATACTTCACTTACAAAGATGACAATACTCTTTAAGTCTTCAGTATTTAACAACTGGGGAAGGGAATTCAGGGGGGTGGGGCGTCAATAACCAGACTACAAAAATATGTAAAACGTCAGAAAAACACTCTTGTCACACCTTTAGTATATCACTTATGGTAAAAGGGCATATAGGGCTAGACCTACAATTTACAGACCTAACAGCACTTGGTGGGTGATGTGGTCAGCATCATGCCAGCCACCTTTACTTCCCAGGATTCTACCTGGTATCCATTTAAGGCTGGGTCGACCTAGGAGCCTAAGTAAATTAATTTTTTGGGGGAGAAAAAAATTCCAGCTCCGTCACGACCTAAACCCACAAACTTCCGACCGGCAGGCGAGTGTCTAGCTGCAACAACCTGACAGCTTCCCAGGCATATTGTGCTAGCCATAATTTTACAGACTAGGTGGTACTTGACAATCCATGACACCTTTACTTCACTTGACATTTCCTTTACTGCCCATTTTCTACGCTACAAGCACTGAGAGTGCTAGGTCAGTTCTAAAAATCCACCTCAGTAGGGTCCCAGAAGCCACATGGGGAGCAGTGAAATCATTGTCCCTTGAGGCGACTTTCATTTGTCCACAAGGACACAGATGTAATAATAGCAGCTTCAAACTAATGCCTTACAAACTCATGCCTTACAAACTAATGCCTTACAAACTAATGCCTTACAAACTAATGCCTTACAAACTAATGCCTTACAAACTCATGCCTTACAAACTAATGCCTTACAAACTAATGCCTCACAAACTAATGCCTCACAAACTCATGCCTCACAAACTAATGCCTCACAAACTCATGCCTCACAAACTAATGCCTCACAAACTAATGCCTTACAAACTAATGCCTTACAAACTAATGCCTTACAAACTAATGCCTTACAAACTAATGCCTTACAAACTAATGCCTTACAAACTCATGCCTTACAAACTCATGCCTTACAAACTAATGCCTTACAAACTAATGCCTTACAAACTCGTGCCTTACAAACTAATGCCTTACAAACTAATGCAGCAGCAGGAGCAGTAGTTGTAGCAACAGTCACTGATAAAAGTAGTCAGTCACGTAAAATTATTACACAAGGCATTTCACCATTTCAAACGTAAGCTGGCTACTCACCATTTTGAATGCCACACAACCACTGCATGAATTAAAGGAACCCCATAAGAAAAATACAGCTCACAGTGCAGCACCAGGCACCTAATTCAGCAGCTTAGACAGCGAAACTCATGCCTTTCTGGTCAGCAAATAACAACTGTACTTCTTTAGCTAAAAGAGAAGTTTCCTTTATTTTTTCTTTGAATAAAGATTTCTGTCGGTGCTACAGAGTTTTTGCATCTGTGCAAACCACATAGTGAGTGTGTTTACCGCTACAGTGTTGTATGTTTAGTTTTTCAATCACGGTGGACCAGTGTTTGTGCCTTGTGCACAAAGCTAACACACCTCAAAGTCAGGGTGGTCGACAACAAAGATTCGGCAAGCCTTCTGGGGCCAGAATAACACTGCTTATTCAACGAAACACCTGGGAATACAATCTGACAGAACACACAGACTAGGTGATAATGAAAGCCGACGATACTTGGCTGTGGCAAGTGTGATGGCAGCGACAAACATGGTGTCATTTACACAGCTGGGTCTGTTGTTTGCCATGTAAGAAACTCGTGGGCTTTCACAGCTTAGGTTGGAGGAAGAATTATAAGCAAGATTCTGGCGCTTTTGCCCTGACAATAAGTAGTCTATGTAGGTCACGACATTTACTAAAGCAATAACATGCCTGGAGACACAGATCTTCACCTGTGCATACTTTCTCTTTTCAGTGACACGATATTTTCAGGAAAATAGAGATGGGCTGAGTCCAAAAACAGTTGCTGCAGTCTCTGGAGCGGTGAAGGCTAACTGAGATCAGTTTCTTTTCGTGCCAGGGTATGCAGGCAGGCAAGAAAAACAAACATTCTAACAGGCTTGCAGTTAAGGCTAGTGGGGGGCGGTGGCGGTGAGAAAGGAGCAGACGAGCCCTAGACCAGGCTGACATACTGAATGCTTTTTTAAAAGTGATTTTTTTTTTTGGGGGGGGGGGGGGGGGGGGGGGAAACAAATTAATGACTATAAATCTGCAACCATGACCTGACTGCAAGAACAGAAAATCAAATGAGGTGTGGCCAGACAAGGGAAGCCAAGGATGAATAAGAAACCAACACAGATCTGATGCTGTCGGCCGCTACTCGCTGTGGGATTTACTGAGAAGGGGATCCAAACCAACAAACAGTAATTAGACCTACCTGCTGTCATCCTGCAGTGTGGCCATGATACTCTGCAGATCTTTGTTGGTCAGCCTCTCGGCCATGTTCCAGCACAAGAAGACGTGTGACTTCTCCCAGAGCAACTCCTGGAGGTTGGCCCGAGCTGTGGCTCTCAGCTCTGCCATGTGCTGCTCGTAGACCTGGTTGCGCTCGTTGTCATCCAGGCTGGAATAGCACTCCTTGCCCACGAAGAAGACGTATGTCTCCGAGAGCGGTCTGCCGGGGGTGACCTGTGGGTTTTCTTCCAGGATCCGTTTGAATTCTTGCTGCAGCCTGTCAGACACGAAATAGAACAGAGCATTTCATTAGGTGGCACGGTTAATTCCTGTCACAAGCACTGTGGCATGTATAGTGGCACGGTTAATTCCTGTCACAAGCACTGTGGCATGTATAATGGCATGGTTAATTCCTGTCACAAGCACTGTGTCATGTATAATGACACGGTTAATTCCTGTCACAAGCATTGTGTCATTTATAACTGACATTTCTTGGTGTGTACCAATTATTCTGTGAATGACTTTTCTTGATGTCGACCAATTAATGTGTGAATGACTTGCCTTGTGTAAAAATCATTGTGTGAACGACTTTTTTTTATGTGTACTAATTATTGGGTGAACAACTTCTTGATGTGTACCAATTAATATGTGAATGTTCTTGATGCATACCTGATAGCATGTGTACACATTAATATGTGAATGTTCTTGATGCATACCTGCTAGCATGTGTACAAATTTTCTTGATGTGTATCAATTAATGTTAGAACAGCTTTTCTTGATGTGTGCCAATTAATGTGTGAAGTGTGACTGACTTTCCTTCATGTGTACCAATTAATGTATGATGCCTGACTGATTTTTCCTTATGTGTACCAATTAATTATAGTTCATCTGTGATAGACTTTCCTTATGTATCACAATTAATGTGTGCAAGTGACATCCCTATGTTTGCACAAATTATTGGGTAATGTGTGACTGACTTTCCTTTACGTTTACAAATTCTCGTTGAAAACCCAGCAACGCTGTGTGTGTTGAAAAAAAAAGTTTTGCCCAATTTGCCCAAACAACACAGTCTGCGTCGATCATGTGTCCCCTACATATGAATACAGTTCCATTTGTGTTTCTCATGTTCGGAATTACCACCAAAGTATTCAGGGAAGGTTATTCTAGCATTTTTCTTTGTTCGCACACATTTATAACAGTATAAAACAATATTATATAAAATGGGTACCAGGATGGGCTGTCCTGGGAAAGTAAAGACAGCCGGCGTAATGCTGACCACATTACCCACAGAGTGCTGATGGTCTGTAAAAATATGGGACGCTCTGCCCATATGCCCGATGCGCCGAAAGGCGTGAAAAGGGAACAAGACACACAAAAAAAAACAATATTATCAGATTCAAAATGTACATTCATTCCTCTTTAAAAAATATACTTTTGTAGGGATAAGAAATATATTACATTCTCAACTGCCTTTTTGTTGTGTTTTTTTGTACACCACCCCCTCTCCCATTTTTATAAAGGAATATTAATTTGGGCCAAGTCTATCCAAATTCAAAGAGTTAATGTGTGACTGACTTTTCTCAATTTGTACCAATTAATTTATACATAGTGACTTCACTTTTCTTTATATGTGCTATTAATTATTAGTTATTCTAAGACTGACTTTCCTTTCCTTCTTGTGTACAAATAAATTTAATAATTTAGCAGTTCATCTTCGAGGGCCGTAGGGGTCAGGTCCTGATAGAGAAAGAGATTTTTTTTTGTTTTTAAATGATCTTGGCTCCCAGGTTGACCCAACCTTAAATAGGTATCAGTTACTGTGTATTTTGACTTGTCTTTGCCACCTTGCTCAATGCCCATCTCTCTACCTCTTTCATAACTCACTTACCTCAACTATCTTTCTCTTTGCCTTCTCTCCTTGCTTTCCCTTCATACTTTTTGCCCGAACACCTTGTGCTATGTCCATCTCCCTGCTTCTTACCTCACACATACCAACACGCTCTATGTCTCACATATATATATAGTGCGCGCACGCACATACATGCACTCTTTTCTCTCTCTCTCTCTCTCTCTCTCTCTCTCTCTCTCTCTCTCTCTCTCTCTCTCTCTCTCTCTCTCGTCCCTGTTCTGGTTAGAGTGCATGCAACTCAAATCTCAAGCACATCTCAACCTACTTAAACAAACACACACGCACGCATACATGTGCACGTACATACTCCCATTTCCAATACAGTGCCTGCAGCTCATTCAAATGGTTCCTGAAGCACATCTCAACCTACACACACATACTTACTCCTGTTTCTGGCAGAGTGCAACTCATTCAAATGGTTCCTCAAGCAACATACACACACAAATACAGACTTACTCTCGTTTCCGGTAGAGTGCCTGCAACTCATTCAAATGGTTCCTGAAGCACATCTCAGCCTCAGCAGAATTGAGCAAATCAAAAGGAATCCTGGATTCATCCAAGTCGTCCAAGAAGCTCTCCGACTGCCTCCAGGAGGAGCAGCCTTCCTCATTGATGATCACAAAGTGGCGGTCAAAGTCTGGATGTTCTCGTATCAGACGACGTATCGTGTTCCAGCCTCTGAGTACCAAAGATAATGGGAACATGTTACTAAAGAAAGAGAATAAGACATTACTTGTATTAGACAATGTATCGTGTTCCAGCCTCTGAGTACCAAAGATAATGGGAAAATGTTACTAAAGAAAGAGAATAAGACATTACTTGTATTAGACAATGTATCGTGTTCCAGCCTCTGAGTACCAAATATAATGGGAAAATGTTACTAAAGAAAGAGAATAAGACATTACTTGTATTAGACAATGTATCGTGTTCCAGCCTCTGAGTACCAAATATAATGGGAAAATGTTACTAAAGAAAGAGAATAAGGCATTACTTGTATCAGACAACGTATCGTGTTCCAGCCTCTAAGTACCAAAGATACTGTAAAGAGAATAATAAAATTACTTGCATGCATCAGACGACATATTTTGTTCCACCCTTTGAATGCCAAAGATAAAGGGAGTATGTTATCAACATTATCAATGAGAATAAAACATTATTTGATCAGACAATGTGTTGTGTTCAACCATCTTAATATAACAGAACATGTTGCTAAAGAGAATTACACATTACTTATGCATATGAGATGATATGCGGTGTTCCATTCTTTGTATACCAAAATATGAACTGAGCTGTGCCAATATCACAGGACTTTGGAGATTCCTGTACCTGTCATACCCCGTAGCCAGTGAAGAGTTCCAATTCTAATAGTACCACTAACAGTTCAGATTCCTCGGTCACTCCCTGAAACACCATTCTCTCTGCACATCAATGATCTATTCACTCTTCCGCACTATTCACTTGCTCCTAAAAGGCCCTGACCACATCCAGCTTGTCAAGCAACAGGTCACAACCCAGTGGTGCAACACCAGCCAGTTTGTCTGCCTGTTTATTTCCCAAAACACTTGCATGACCCAGGAAAAAGATCAAAGGAATGCTAACTACTGGGGAACTCTGAAGCAATGCTTGCCACTCTGAATGGAGTATGCCTTTCTCCACCTTTCTCTGCATGCTTATATCAAAGATAATGGAAACATGTTACTAAACACAATAACTACATCAATTACCACCTAGACAGAAAAGAAAAAGTAACACATTACTGCAAGTGTTATCTCACGTGTATCACATGTTGTACTGTATTCTATGCTGCATACACAAAATAAATGCCATCTAAGACGAAAACAGCAGAAAATTTCTTTAAATGACCACCAATTACTGGCATCATGAGGGCAAACAGACTACAATGGGTGGGGCATATAGAAAGAATGGCAGATAATAAAGAGACAAAACCTGTGTACCCAAAGAAGTTGAATAAATGCAGACCACAAGACAGACCAAGATCATGGTGGAGAGATACAGACAGACCAACAAACATTTGGAATCACCAACTGGAAAGAGAAGGTCATTCACAAAGATGGAGTCGAGTGATACCTGCAGCAATGAACCTCATGGATAAAGAAGAAGATACACCCCAAAAAAAAAGTAACTTCACTACAAACAAAGAATAAAAACATCACCAAGCAACTTTTCCTACACTTAACAAGTATTTGAGACTAACTAGAAACATTTATGGGAAAATAAGCACGGGGAAGGCCAATGAAAAATACTGCTTGGATAAGTTGACCATATGGATGGGGTGAGAGAAGAACAACTGACCTGATCCATGAATCTGGTGATCATGTGAAATGATGAAACATGACTGCTTATCAACAGAACATATCATGAAGATGATGACTTATGTACACCTATGACAACTTTCCCCACAAACAAATATAAGCACTTTTCACTCACATACATAGCAAAATATGCAAAAGCCTGTAGCTTAGTTGCCAGGTATACCCTGAAACACTTGCCACAAGTGCTGTGATGTCAATTCTTGACTCAACTCAAACCTCATACACTCATCAGTGACTCTGAATGAACACTAAATTTTACAGTCACTCTGCACATGTTTTCTCCAAACTTCAGCTTAGCCAACGGATGGGGTAGAACAGGAACAGTGACTTGATCCATATTTTGGTGATCGTGCGAGATGGCAAAACATGACAGTCTATCCCCACCAGCAAGGCGTATGATGATGAAAAATAGTGCTTCCTTTCTCACCCCATATGCGCTTGCAAAACGTTCCAATTCCGATCTTAACAACAGCAGCCAAGCATGTCTGAAAATTCTACTAATTAGGGATGTTTCCATTGGCGTTGTGTGCATCTGCCTGTCTGAGAGCTTAGCAACTAACAGTCTGCATACAAATAACCCAGATCTGTAAATTGTATGTGCAGGCAACCTCACGTTCTGGAATAAGGCTAAAGTCCAGAAGTATACAAGCAACCAGAAATTTCCGCCAGTGTGTGCTGCTGGCAAATGCTAAGAAAAAGGCTGCTAGTGGCAGAGATGTGATGTTGCCAAGGGGGAGAGATGACTGAACAGACAGCTAGCTGTTGAAACCACAGCATGGAGAAAAATAAACAGTAACAATCCAGGAAATGGCAAGACAGAGATCAGCATCAGATATGTACAGAGTGACACAGGGTACGGCCTTCATTTATTTCTAGGCTTTTCTTATTTGGTATTATTCAGCTTTTTCACCTCATCTTGTCGGGTATAAGATTTCATATGGAATTTTCCGGGACAGTCTTAAAGGAGTGTCATGACATGCCTTTTTTCGACATGAGTATACAAAAGTGCCAAAAAGTGTCTTGGGTTTGTCTAATGCGTCGACACACAGTCTTTCACACAAAAGTGAGCAACTGCCTTTTCTGTAAACGACTCTTCAATGGTCAGGGTTAGATGCAGCAATAATGACAGATCTAGGAAATTTAAGTCTAAAAAGACAAATGAACAAAAATAACACAAAGTGGAAATGATGATGCAATAAATGATAACAGTGAAAATAAGCAACACACAACACGCCTAGAATATAGAAGTTGTAGTGTTTTAGGGCTAATGTTAAATGAACAGCCACTAAGACTAACCCTGACCCTAACACACCCCACTCCAGACTATAGGACTGTCCCGGGAAATTCCCTATGAAATCTCGCACCGGTCGAGAAAAAAAAGCTGAATGGTACCTCTTCTTCTGCTTTCACCTATATTAGTGTGATTGGCACCCCAAAAAAAGAAGGGGGAGGGGGGCATGCAGTCTATCAGAAATGAACAGAATCTGGCCACCTGAATGGCACAGGCAGGTTATTATTCCATGACTCTGTACAAGCCACAATGAATAGGCAGACAGACTGGCTGGCTCTGCACGACTTGGTGGAATACTGATGCATGATTAGGCGTGTACAGTTCGGAGAAGCAGATGGATCACCACAGTCTGGTGAGATTGATGCAGCCGGGATTGACGAGAGGTACTGGCAGATGCTCGAGGCTCAGAGGGGAGGCAAGATGGACATTTAATCAGAATGCTACTGGCATCATTTGTATCAGAACTTTTCGCTGGCTGCTGAAGTTGGGGACGGAGCGCTTATGGGAATGCCCTGAGTGCTGTGATGTCAGTTCTTGAATTCAATCAAATTAAATCAAGCCATAACAAACTCAACAAGCATATTCACAGGCTTTGCCAAAGTAGACTACCACCAAGCCCATCTGTCTGTCTGACAGTCCATTAAGAAGGCAATAATGGCCCAATGAATCAACATCATAAACAAAGGTGTATGGAACTAAAAGGGAAAATGAAAAGAATTTTTAAGTAAATTTTATCATAAGATATAATCTGTTGGTGTAAATCAGAGGGGGTCAGCGTGGTCTCGAGACATGTTGTCCGCCTCAAGTGCTAGAGGTTCCTGGTTCAATCCCCGGCAAAGGCTGGGATTTTTGTACGTGGATTTGGACTTGTAGAAACTCCCCCTGGTCTCTGAGTAGTGAGATCAGACGCCCGTGTGTATTGTTGCGCGCGTAATAAAATCCCTTAGCAGTTGGAAATCGAATAGCCCAACGGGCACAATTTGGAGTTAAAAATCTACTTAAAGTATTTCAGGACCCTCGCAGGTGCTACAGAGCCTGTGCGCAGCGATGAGCTTCTTTGGACTCAGACTTGAGTTAGAAGAACGGAGCAGTTATGGGTTATTACCCGTGTGCCATGATACTGACCTCAGAAATCAGACAGCGATCACAAGAAGTAGAAGCCCAACAAACTGGATTTCAACAAATCTTTAAAAGCCACCTTTCACAACATGTCTGTAAAGTAAATGTGATGATTCCATGTTTCTCAAAAAACATGACACCTAGAACCCACACTTGAAGTAGACATGATAATATTCTTACCTTTCTGTAATGCACTCTAAAGTAGGTAAAAACAATTTCAGCAAATTTGGCAACAATGACATATAACGTAGTTCTCGTGTCCGTATCTGCTCATCTCGTAGTCTCTTTGTGTGAGCTCGGAACTCCTTACGAGCCTGCTCTGTGCCGAACATCTCCACGTAGTGTATAAAGTCAGACTCAAGCTCCAACTTCTTCTTCCATGTACCCCACGCTGCTTTAGGATCGGTGACATTTGTACGCAGCAGAAGTATATACGCCTCTTTGGCCACTTCCAGAAGCTCGTGTCTACTCCTCCTGGCATCTTGGAAGGGCACAATCTTGGTCTTGGCTTTGGTTTTGTCAATGAGATGAGCGAGCAGCATGAATGCAGCTTCAATGTTGATGTTTTCATGGGCGGACGTTTCCACGAGCGGCACGTTCCCTTTGAACTCCTTGCGATTGATGAGCTTTTCTGCTTCCTTGACGTACTCCAGGCAGGAAGCATCGCCCTTGGTTGTTGCCAGCACAACCGGCTTCTTGGTCTTCAGAGCATTGTTCAGCAAGGCAGCCACAAACTCCACCTGCTTCTCTATAGATCTCTGGGGCACCTTGCTGACATCAAAACAGCAAAGGAATCCGTCAATTGTCAGCTTCCCTTCCGGTATTAAGACCTGTGGGTAAGCACTGTCTGTTTCCATACCTGTATCACAGACAAACAAAAGAACAATTTATGTAACACAGAAACATGGATAAGGAAGACACAAACATCTTCTTCTTAAAGTCCATACTGTGTGGTGTTGGTAGTCATGTCTATCCACAACCTTCTGTCTCGTGTACTTTCAGACAATTCTCACACAGATGATCTTCCATAGTCCATGCCGTGTGGCGTTGGTAGTCATGTCTATCCACAACCTTCTTCTTGTGTACTTTCAGTAAACTCGGACACAGATGATCTTCCATGCCATGATGTCAAACTGTTCAGCATCTTTCTCTCGGTCTCCCTCTGCATCTCCTCCTCTCCAACTCTCATACTGCCATGATGTACTCCAGTTTTTTCCTTCTCATCACATGATCAAAGAATGTAGATTGTCTCTTTCTGATGTGGGCAACACAAACATAAACCTTGTTGTTTTTTTTCATCTCATATTCCCATGTGTGTTTCAGGGCTTAACGCTGGAAAACAAATAACAGACCCACAGCCCCTCCAGTAAGCATGTCGCAGGAGGCTACTAATTAGGGTATTTCTTTCAAAATCGGTGTGCATCTGCCTGGGACCAAGAACTAACAGTCTACATACACATAAACTAGAACTGTGAGGCAGGCGTGCACAAAAAATATAAGCTTTGAATCAAGACCACAGTTCACGAGTGGATGAACAACCATACTTTTCTGTCGGAGTTTACAGCCAGTTGCTTCTGCAATGTCCTGTAAAGGATCAACATCATCATCATCATGTGCCCTGCAAACTGGCGTAGGCGCTCATGCGTCTCTACAGATTCCGATCCCTGGTTGCCTTGAACAGCTCTCTTGATGATATCCCTTCATGCTATTGTTTCAGCCCATCCAGAATCATCTCGCTTGGTCTGCCTCTACCCCTTTTTCTACTGATCTTTCCAGTTGTCACGATGTTCTTCAATGCTTTTCTTCTCATTACGTGGCCAAAGAACAGTGTTTGTCTCTTTCTTATTGTGGTATATAGAGATCTACTTTCATTAGCTTCTTTCGAGCTATCATTGTAAAAGATACAGTTGGGTTTTTTTTTTTTAGTACATTAACATGAATTAGAATAACAGCTGATCAAGTGCTGGACCATTATGGACCCATCATGCTTGATAATTGAACAGAAGTTGCCAGTAAAAACTGCAGTGGCGTAGTGGCTAGATGATTATTGGGCCTGAAGGTTATGAGTTCAAATCTACATCAAGCCAGGTTGGAGTCCCACTAGCATGACCTGCCTAAATGGAACACTGTCCCACCAACATGATGCACCTGACTGGAACACTGTCCCACCAACATGATGCACCTGACTGGAACACTGTCCCACCAACATGATGCACCTGACTGGAACACTGTCCCACCAACATGATGCACCTGACTGGAACACTGTCCCACCAACATGATGCACCTGACTGGAACACTGTCCCACCAACATGATGCACATGACTGGGACACTGCCCCACTAATATGACCTACCTAACTGGTCCTTGCAGATGTACATGAGCTTCTCTGCACTTTGAACTTTGCCACTGACAGCTCTCTTGATGTATGTCTCCGTCCGAGCTGTCTTGAAGGGAGAGAAGCTGACATCATCTATGAACTCTGTCTGCTCAACCTGTAAATATTTAACACAGTCTGAGCACATTCAATATAACAAACCTATTCTATGACATCTGTGAGGCAATCCAAATTCCCTTAATACTGTTGGCACCTCTCCCTCGTTTCAGGCAATTGTGTTGTGTTAGCAGGGATTCTCAGCCTTCCTAATGATAGGTAGTTAGTTGTGCACTTTTTACAGCAAGTTGCAGAACCAACACCAATATTTTTTGGCTGTTGTGGTTTTTTTCTAGGCAAATTTTATGTTCAGTAAATTGCCACTGCTTTCTGAATGGTCAGCGCTCGGTACCACTGTCGATACCAATGCAAATGGAATCGTCTGCAGCTGGGATCGAAACCAGCACCCTGGCTTACGCAGGGTGTTCACAATGTCTAAGCCATAGATGCTGACGTGTGTTGTATAAGCTCACCTTAATTGATGTGGTCATTTACCCATGCAGGTTCTGGGGCTCTATTTTAGGGGACACATGAATAGATCCCCCCCCCCCCCCCCCCCAACAAGCTTGTTGTAAAAGGTTACTAATTAGGCCTGTTTTATTCGAAGTCAAAGGGTATCTGCTTGAGAGGTGAGGATCCAACGGTCTGTATACACACACAAAAACCTGACAAGTAAAATGAATGTGCACGCAAAACTCAAGTTTTCTAAGACACCATACATCATACACAATAAATTTTGATCAACCAGCACAGTACATAATTCGGGCACAGATCTCCACATAGCAAACAGAATAAACTTTGTCCAACCAGCACAGTACATAAATCAGGCACAGATCTCCACACAGCACACATATCAAACTTTGTGCAACCAGCACTGTACATCATTCAGACACAGATCTCCACATAGGACACACATTAAACTGTGTCCAACCAGCACAGTACATGATTCAGACACAGATCTCCACACAGCACACATATTAAACTTTGTCCAACCAGCACAGTACATCATTTGGACACAGATATCCACACAGCACACTTATTAAACTTTGTCCAACCAGCACAGTACATAAGTCAGGCACAGATCTCCACACAGCACACATATTGAACTTTGTCCAACCAGCACAGTACATAATTCAGGCACAGATCTCCACACAGCACACATATTGAACTTTGTCCAACCAGCACAGTACATCATTCAGACACAGATCTCCACACAGCACACACATTCAACTTTGTCCAACCAGCACAGTACATGATTCAGACACAGATCTCCACACAGCACACATATTAAACTTTGTCCAACCAGCACAGTACATCATTCAGACACAGATCTCCACACAGCAAACACAAACTTTGTCCAATCAGCACAGTACATTATTTAGACACAGATCCCCGCAGATCTATCAAACAGTGTAGGCAAGGGGGAAAAGAGGGTGTCTTTCAGCCTGAGATTTAGGGCCAATTGGCTAGTGTTGTCATCGAGAACTGTGCAGGTTGGGATCTGATTTTTTGCCCCCAACAGAAACATCCACAACCGTAGAAAAGATCTAAATCCGGGTCTTCCACATGAGAACCTAGTGTTCTAACTGTTCGGCCAGCCGCTTCTCTGTGCATTATAATTATTTCCAACTAGCACAGCACATGATTCAGGAACATCAACATAAACACAAAGAACATGCTGACCATGTCATAACAAAAGCACGCAAAGGCCTTTCAGCAAGGAGGGTCCTGGCCGCCGCTAACTCTGAGTAGAGACTGCTTCTGCTTCTGTTCCAGGGACTTGTACTTTCTCCCATCAAATATGCTCTCGCCATCCTCACTGTCAGCCGTACGCAGATTGAAAGACTTGAGAAGGTGCAAAACGAAGCAATGCGCATTATTCTAGGGTGCACTGGAGACACCTCTTGTGTAACAATGAGGTACCTTCTTGACTTCCCTACCATGAATTACAGGATCAAGATCTGGAGGGCTCATGTATACCTCAAGATAAGCTCAGATCTGAAGCACCCTTTGCACCACATGCTCTTCAAGAAAAAAGGCAATAGGCTTAAAAGGGGCAAATCATGGCTGGGTAGGGCAGAGGATGACATCATGCAGGTTTGCAGCTTTACAGACATCCATCCAGGTGAGTAGTGGATACCAGTGTCTAAAGTACCCAATCTCACATTCTACTGTGTCATGACGCTCGATAAGAATTGTCGGGAGCAGAATCCAGCTGCTGTCAATGCCGAAGTATGCTCGCTTATCAGTGACAAGTCAGATGAGACAGACGTGGTTAACAGACAGGTCCATTTTACGAGGACACAAGAGTGCATGGGCATTTACAGCTCGCTCTTCAGGCAGAACAGTTCAAGAAGCCAGGAGTGCCTTCTCCATGACCACCAGCAGCATGACAATGGAGGTTATGGCGGTGACACAAGCTTTCATGTGGCTGGGATCGCAGGACTATTCCCACGTGTGTGTGCTGAGTGATTCTTTGAGCATGATCCAGTGGGTCGAGGCAGGCTGGTTACGCAGACAGTGGCTTGAGTCGTTGCAAAATTCTCCTGTGTGTGCAGTTACTTTCATATTCATCCCAGGGCATGCAGGCGTTGTTGGTAATAAGAGAGCTGATAAACTGGCAGGTGCTGCATTAATTGAAGATGGCTGGCCAATGGATCAAGCAGACATTGTCATTGCCCTTAGAGAGATAGGGCATTCTGAGGATTTTGGAAGCAACGTGTCCACATCACTGCTAAGAATACGCGAATTGGGAGTAAAGATCGGCACAGCCAAGCATGAAAAGCACAATGGACGCACAAAGTCTTGTTAACCAACATAGGACTGGTACAATTAACCGCATGACGCTGATGAATATGTTGAGAGGGGAATCTGAGCATCAATGGCTGTGTCCGGAGTGCTGTGAAGATAATCTAACTCATAACATCAATATGACATACCACATGAAATGTGAAGTTGTTGCCGTCATCTGTTTTGATCACAGAGCCCCAGTACAGGAAATGATCATTGTTGATGACCCGGCCAGCAAAGTCACTCTGGCTCAGAACAGAGATGTGCTCCTGATAGTAGTTGTCAGCAAACTGGGGACAAACAAACAAGGCCACACACTGAATCTTTACTGTCATCAAATCTTTACTGTCATCAAATCTTTACTGTCATCAAATCTTTACTGTCATCAAATCTTTACTGTCATCAAGTCTGTACTGTCATCAACAGATTAATTGTTACATGGGTTGACAAGTATTCAAGTATCCAAGGAAAGCCAATAACAACATTTATTCTCAAAGCCTCACTCCATTGCCCTCTAGAGAGGGTAAAGTAAGTTCAAAGCCTCACTCCATTGCCCTCTAGAGAGGGTAAAGTAAGTTCAAAGCCTCACTCCATTGCCCTCTAGAGAGGGTAAAGAAGTTCAAAGCCTCACTCCATTGCCCTCTAGAGAGGGTAAAGTAAGTTCAAAGCCTCACTCCATTGCCCTCTAGAGAGGGTAAAGTAAGTTCAAAGCCTCACTCCATTGCCCTCTAGAGAGGGTAAAGTAAGTTCAAAGCCTCACTCCATTGCCCTCTAGAGAGGGTAAAGTAAGTAAATGAAAGGACCCTTCTCCCTGCCATTAGGCGTATTTGGAATATGGAGCTATATTTTACAGATCAACTGGTACTCAGTGAGTGATGTGGTCAACATCATGCTGCTCTAGAGAGCGACTGCCATTAAAAAACTGCCTATTACTGGCTGCATTAGACCATTTTTTGCGGTGTAGACAGGGGAATCTTTGAGCCTGAGCATTTATGGCCACATGGCTAGTGCTGTCGCCACGACTGTGCAGGTGAGGATTTCATTTTGCCCCCTGACAGAAACAATCCTCAGCCTTTCCAAGGATTTGAAACCGGGTCTCCCGCTTGAGAGCCCAGTGTTCTAACTGTTTGGCCAGCCATTCTTCGGGACTGTCATTACTGCAGTGTAGGTGGAGGAGCTGTTTCTGAGACTGAAGATTTAGGGCCACAGTGTACTTGCAGTCGTCTTCCTCCAGCAGAAAACTAAATCAATAAACGTAACTTACCAAGGATTTGAACCAGTGTCTCCTGCAAAAGAGGCCAGTGTTTAACTATTCGGCCAGCCCTGCCCTCTAGAGAGGGACAATGCATCATATTAAGACAAACACAGAGATGTGTCCCTGCAACCTGACACCTGAAAATGCTCCCCATGTACTCCAACACTGTAAACTTTATAGTGTTAACCACAGAAACAGTAAGGCCTGTTACAACCTCAATCAAGATGCAAATACATATTTATTCAAAGTACCAAAATTTATCGCCATTTATTCAAGTACTTTTTTTTTAATTGTGCGTTCATCTTATAACTGGGGTAAGGCTGGAGGGGTGGGGGGGACCCAGTTCATCAGGACATGAGCAGACGACCCTCTAATCCGCAGGCGAGTATCTAGCCGCTACACCATAGCAGCTCTCAACAAGCACCCTTACAAATCATGCTAGGGTTTTTTTTCCCAGGCACTGCTGCTTCATATCTTACAAGTTTTTTTCCAGGCACTGCTGCTTCATATCTTACAAGTTTTTTTCCAGGCACTGCTGCTTCATATCTTACAAGTTTTTTTCCAGGCACTGCTGCTTCATATCTTACAAGTTTTTTTCAAATCACTTCTTAACCCTACCAGACCGCTGGCCCGATTTTCCGGGAATTTTCTAACCTGACGCTACACTGCTGGCCCCATTTTCCAGGAATTTGCGTAGTACGTGAAAAATATATCACAGACTAAAAATAACCAGCCAATCGCTATCAGACTTTGTGGTTAGTCATTGCGAATGACTTCCCACGTGTGTTTAGATTTCTTTGTGTGGTCTGATGTGGAAAACATTTGGAAAATTCTCAATGAAACGAGCGGCTTCGACAAGAAAGTGACGTAGGTCTAGGCTTTTCACAGTCCAACAGGTGATCGATACTTTGGTTAATTCAGACTGTGTATACGTTTATGAAGAATGCATTCCCAGTTGAGAGCTAGAGTGAGGAGGAGAATTATGAAAATTATAGATTTAAAACTAGAACGATAGTAAGAGAAGGGGGCGTGTCCTTCAAACAGCAACATCTGGTGCTTACTTTGTGAAACAAGACTGATCCTACTAGGTGGATTGGCACACAAAGGTGGAAGATTGGCGCTAGATGAAAGAAACCTATTTTCTACAATGTCTCTAAATTTTGCCATATTCTAACCACTTGTTTGCATGTAACGAATATTTTTGTACATCATGTTGGTTTTTTCATGTTAACGCCCAGGAGCTCAGGTATAGGGGACAGTTGGGTTCAGGGCCTCAGGTCTCGTAGGGTTAATGCAATCCTCAATGTTTATCAGGGTTTGATTCTTGGGGAGGGGGGGGGGGGGGGGGGGGGCATTTAGAAAAAGACTTTTCTCGTGGCTTTCCGACTTACTGTGGAAGAGATGGGTTGCCCAGTGACATGCTCCATGCAGAGCAGCAAGCACTGCTCTAGAGGTGCCAAGTAGTTAGCGTCCTCAAGATGTTTTCTCCAGGGTGTGTGGTGGAAAACAAACAGGCATAGAGAGTGGCTGGTTCTGCCCCTACAAGCCAGATGTGGCCAGTGCCCTTTGGGAGTGAGCGAGCGAACAGTGCAGAAGCTTAAACAGATCATCATGGTCTGGATAGAATGGTGCAGTGGAGAGTGACCAATGCATCTGGCTAACACTCAGAGGAAAGACAAGACGAACATGTTGATCAGCTACTCGCATCAATGAAAGTGGGAACTCTAAAGATGGAGTGCTTATGAGAATGATCCAAGTGCTATACTGCTAATTGTTCCCTTTGTTAGTCCCAAACAATACATCATGTGTGACTGAATTAACTCATATGCACCAGTTAACATATTAGCATGCTTGTACATTTTATGTTTGGTTAGGGCTTGCTATAACACTCTCCTTCTTTTTCTTCTTTGCATTCAGTTTTGTATGCTGAGATCATACCATCAGGTGGATTGCCTCTATAAATGTGCATGTCAGTAGCAGATCCTTCATGGTTCCTCATAGCTTGCTCTGCACACTTTTCTCTTGAGGCCAGGTGTCTTTTCAAAGTTGCATGTGGAGTGGGCAGGTCTGCAGAATGTGCTCATGTGTTTGTGGTCCTGTCTGACAGGCACACTGTGGGGACTGTACAATCTTTATTTTTTGCATGTGGTAGTCAAGCCTGCAGTGTCCTGTTCATAGAGGAAAATTGTTGTATCTTGCTTTCTGTTTAGTTTGCTGATAGGGTCTTGTGGATGTCTATTGTTTGTTATCTCCACAATTCCTTTTATTTCCTCTTGATAAGTGTTCTGATTTCAGGTAACGACAATGGATGGGTGTGTTGTTTCTCCTTTGTTCCATTTTTTGCAAGTCTGTAACACTCAAAAAACACATCTGTCTCCCACAAGGGATTTGGGCCCTGTGGATGCAGTATGCCCATTTTTGTGTTGCTTTCCCAACTGACTGCCTGAGGCATCAATTATGACCTTCTGGGAAGCACTTCACCTAACTGACTCCTGTTTACCCATACAAATAATGACTTCAATTAACCCAGATGCAACAGGCTCACCTGATTGAGAAATCGGTTGCACAGGCATGATTTGCCAACTCCGTACTGACCCTTCTCTCGTTCGGTGCCTGACAGGCCAATCACGCTCACGTTGATTGTGCGGCCTTCTGCCCTCCGCGCCATTCCGCGGAGTTACATCTTCACTGGATTCTGTCAATGTAAAATTATTAAATCATGTTAAACAAACAAAGCAAGACTTTGTACTATAAAAGAAATTAAGCTAGTTATTTTCTATTCTAAAAAGAAAAAATCACTAAGTTTAAGAAATGAGACTAATTATTTTATATTCAAGAAACAGGACAAACTATATCTTTAATAAACAAGGCAAATTATCTTATATTTAATGAGTTCTCTTTGGTATTTGGTAGAAAATAAGAGTGACAGCCCTTAAAAAGTTATCCCATACTAGACACAAAACATCTCTATTCGTTCATTCCAGATCAAACATGCATTTACTTATGAATCCTGAAGATTAATGTGTGCCACAATCTTAAAATTAATGCATGCCATTATTTTAAAATTAATTCATGCCATCATTTTAAAATTAATTCAAGCCTATCATCTTAAAATTAATTCATGGCATCTTAAAAGATGGTTTACAAAAAAAAAGGTATATACTAAGGACACGGGTAGGAAGCTAGCTGATACAATCCATGAAAAAAAATTTCAAACCGTCATGCTGAACCAGTATCCAGAGAGAGCTTTAGGTTATAATTGTGACTAGGTTATGTGCACAATATCAAATGGCTTAGCATCGCACGCCACCAAGAGCACTGGAAAAGACTCCTGCAGTGCTGATATGATCAAAAAAGACAGACCCAAACACTGTCCTGACTGGTGACGAAGTCATCTTCGGGCACGCCAATGAGTAACCCGGTCACCGAGAATGATGATGTTAGATGAACACCTCATAGATATTTATAAAGAGGCAACATAACCAGTCCCTCTACTGCTATAGATCTAACCATCGAAGTGAAAACGACGTCTCTATTACCACCATAAAATCTTGCTATAGTGATCAAACTATCTGTATGTTTCTCTCTGCAAAATCGCCTAACTCACAGTTAAGATTTTATGAGATGAGCAGATATTCATGTTTGGCACACCTTTATTTAATTACTATATTCACCTTACCCCATCCCCCCTTTTAACCTTTCTAATTTACTATTATTAAAATTATTGCCATTATTAGTTTCTCCTTTATTTCTTATTTTAGAGAACTACTAAATTTCAAGAATAAAGATGATAATGCAAATAACAATACTATAACAAACACAGCAGAAGAGACGGATACACTAGAGCCAGCAATTCTATTCACAGAAGTAGAAAATACAATAAAGACAGCACCAAGGCACAAAGAGATTGGTATCGACAATCTCCCTGCAGAAGCCATCAAAGCAGCTGGAGAAACAAGAACAAAATGGCTCAGGGACATTCTCTAGACTGCCTGGCTGCAATAAGAAACATCAGATGACTGGCAAACAGCAATAATTTTACCAACAAGGAAAAAATAAAGGGAGTAAGAAAGAGTGCACTAATTACAGAGGAATGTCACTGTTAAGCCACACAGGGCAAATGTATGCCAAATTAATTGACAGAAGATCAAGACCAATAGAAGAAGAACAACTTTCAGAAGCCCAGATGGGTTTCAGACGTAACAAGATCTGCACAGACGCAATATTTACATTAAGACAGTTGACAGAAAGAGCGATAGAGTATGGTAAGACATGCAAAGTCGTATTTACAGATCAGGAAAAAGCATTTAACAAAGTGGATAGGAATATGCTGTGGATCTGCTCAAGAAGAAATGGAACCAGCAAACGTCTAACCGAAGTGTGTAAGAGCTTATATACATCAAGTAAAAGTTGCATACTAGCAAAATCAACCTTCTGAAGTAAATTCAGGAGCAAGAGAGGGATGTTTGCTATCTCCCCTGCTTTTTAAAACATACATCGACAATATATGCAAAGAAGCAGAGAACGGAAGAAAAAGATATCTCAGAATTGTTATTTGCAAATGACCAAGTATTAACAGCTGAAACAGAAGAGAGTTTACAGAACCATATAGACCAAGTCAATACTAAGTGTGAGACACATAATAAGAGGATGAGCATTGATAAGACAAAGGCAATGGTAATAGGTAGACGAGTGGAATCAAGAATTGACATCACAGCACTCAGGGCATTCCCATATTTGCTCCGTCCCCATTCTCAGCAGCCAGCACAGAGTTACTAATGGTGCCTGTTGTAGCCTGGTTGTATGTCCGTCTTGCCTTTCCTCTGAGCGTAGTGTTATGGCCTAGCCCTCTGGTCACACCCAGGTGCATCATTCTCTCCAGCCCGTAATAATCTAGTTTCTCTTCTGACTTCGTTACTTGTTCCCAAAGGGCTTTGACTACATCTGCCTTGTCATGTATCAATTCACCACCCAGCGATGCATGTCCAAGCAATCTGTCTGCCTGTTCATACCCACTACGTCAGCAGTTAGACAGAGGGAAACCACATCATTTGTAAATGACACAAATAAAACAAACCAGACAATTTAAATATCTAGGGATATTTTTCACCTCAGATGTTGAGAATAGGTACAGAAATCAACAAAAGCAAATCAGGTTATTGGACAATTAACATTGCTGCTGACGCACAGAAAGATACCTATGTCAATCAAAGTAAAAGATTGTAACAACAGAGATGAGCAGCAGCAGCAGCCGCAGAAGAAGAAGAAGAAGAAGAAGAAGAAGAAGAAGAAGAAGAAGAAGAAGAAGAAGAAGAAGAAGAAGAAGAAGAGGAAGAAGAAGAAGAAGAAGCAGAAGAAGAAAGAGGATGATGACACATATAATGAGGTTAACAGGTCTGAAGTGAGAATGTCCGGTTGTCAAGACAACAACTATAGGGACATTGGAGTGGAGCGCAATGCAGGAAATGCTGAGGACATGCCGGATGGTATCTCTTCATTTGATTGCATCACACGGGGAAAGGGGTGCTGATTCATCTGCAACAGATGCTCCAGAAGGATTAGGATATATTCTAATCTCTTCATAACAGAGTAGTCAGCCTGGTGCTGGGACTGGTGGTTTTCTGATTGAAGTTTCTGAGGCTACATGTAGTTTATAAGCCAACATGTCACACCAGCCCACCTTCTCACAAGATGCCTAACAATTGTAGATTGTCTACTTTTGATGCCAGTATCCTGTTCTTTCCACACGGATGTTGAACGTCTGTGTTTCTTAACTGTCCAGGGTTTAATCTAAAACTGGGTCTAAATAACATTCTTTGTCCCACCCCCAGAGAGAAATAATGAACTTTATTTTAAAATAAATATTTTTTTAGATAGAGATAGGGAAAAAGCGAAGGCAGACAGAAAGAAACAAAGAAAGTGAAAGAATTAGAGAGGGGGAGGCAAGAGAGAAAAACAGAGAAAGTGAAAGAATGAGAGAGAGAGAGAGAGAGAGAGAGAGAGAGAGAGAGAGAGAGAGAGAGAGAGAGAGAGAGAGAGAGAGAGAATAACATGAGAATGAGAGAGAGAAAGCGAGAAAAGTAACATTCTTCACAGATACGCTACATGGACCTGGATATGTAGCGCGCGTCTGTGTGAATGTGTTTGTTTTACATGGTGTGTGTGTGCCTGTGTGTGTCTGTCCTGTGTGAATGCGTCTGTTTTACACGGTGAGTGTGTCTCTGTGGTGTGTGAATGCGTGTTTTACATGGCGTGTGTATGTGTGTCTCTGTGTGTGTGCCTGTGTGTGTCTGTCCTGTGTGAGAATGCGTCTGTTTTACACGGTGAGTGTGTCTCTGTGGTGTGTGAATGCGTGTTTTACATGGCGTGTGTATGTGTGTCTCTGTGGTGTGTAAATGCGTCGTTTTACATGGCGTGTGTGTGTGTGTGTGTCTGTAGTGTGTGAATGCGTCTGTTTCACATGTTGTGTGTGTCTGTGGTGTGTGAATGTGTCTGGTTTTACATGGTGTGTGTCTCTGTGTGCGTGCAGCGGGGTGCCGGGAAATTATGTCCTAATCCAGACATTAAACAAGGACCGTTTCAAATGAGAGGTCCCCCGTGTGGGTTCCGGGGCCCCATTGTAGGAAAAACAAGAGTAGACCGGCTGGCTCCTCAACAAGCATGTCGTAAGAGTCGACTAATTGGGAGCTTCTTTCGAAATCGAAGCACATCTTCCTGGAAGGCAAGGAACCTACAATCTGCATAAAATTAAATCAGACCTGTTAAACGGATGCGCAGGCAATACCCAGGTTCTGGAACAAGACTAAAGTTCAGAGGTGGACGAGCAACCATAACTTTCCGTCGGAGCATACAGCCAGTGAACGCGAAGAAGAGGAAGAAGAAATCAGAGGTGGTTGGTGTAAGCGACAGCCACTTCGCCGCCCATCCCCCAAGCCACCTGAACACTTCAAGACCAGCAACATTTCACTGGTTTACAGACGGACCAACCTGTCGCAACCAAATGGCGCTGTGGCCGGATGAAGCAAAATAAGCAACTTGGAACGCTGGACCCACCACGGCAACAACAACAACAAAACCGTTACCAGCAGATTCCTCACGCCTGAAATCGATATCCGGTCGATGCAAGCGGCGACCTCGAGTTCTGGGGGAAGCTGGGCCTAGAACATCGCCACGTCAAAGGACAGCAGAGGCCAGGTAGAAACGATGGCGTCCCAGACAACGGAAGCAGGTCAATAGACTAAAAGGCATCAGGACAAACTAGAAAACATTGTGTTTTTGTGTTTACATCTAGGCGGCGATATTTTTTCCCGTCTTTTAATTAATATCAGCATTTATATATATGTGTGTGTTTATATATATAATGTTTCGGAATCTGTGTTGTCTTTGGATGTAGGTCGGCTACTAATTTTGAAATACGCAAAATGAACCATCCGTTAGACTTTTTTTAAATCTTTGTTATACTCTATTTCACCCCTACTTAATCTCTCAATCCTCTTGCTTACTCTTTCTCCGTTTCTAATTCACTCTATCCTTATGGCTCTCATTCTGATTTCTCTCTCTCTCTCTGTCTGTGTGCCTGTGTACGTGGGTGTGTGTGTGTGTGTGTGCGTGTATGTCCCTCCCCTCCCATCCCTTCCCTTCCCCGTCATATCCCCTTCTCTCGACATT